AGTGTACTGAACTGCCTGGGGCAAGCTCACAAGCAGAAGCTGCGTGTACATGATGGGAATGTACATAAAAATCCTGTAGGTTTAGCACCCACCCAGGGAAAAGCTTCATCAGAAGCATGGACCCTTCCTGTAGTGGAGCCTTGCTGAGAGGTGCCTCATTATCACATCTATTTGTTTGTTTGTTTTGTGACAGTGTCTTATTATGTAGCCCTGGCTGGCCTGGAACTCCATATGTAGACCAGGCTAGCCTCAGAGTCACAGAGATCTGCATGCCCATGCTTCCCAAGTACTAAGATTAAGGGAATGCATGGCTGTGCATGTCTCCCTTTTTCCTTCCCCCATCCCTCTTCCTTTTTCTTTGGGGTGGTTATTTGGTAGCTTTTGACATCTACTTAGAGTATTGTCTCCGCTATTATATGTCTTTCTCCTGTTTTGATACACAGTCTTGCTATATAGCCCAGGCTGACCTGGGACTTGCTGTGCAATCAAGGATTGCCTCAAATTCAGTATCCTCCTGCCTCACCCTCTCAACTACTGAGAGACTACCTGCCTTGTAACTAATTTAACATTATGCTGCCGCTAAGTTGGAACTCAGTCCCCCACAACCCGCACCCATAGTGCTGGGCATTGCATGATAGGGAAGGCACCATGACCTAGCCACACTCCTAACCCTTCCTTGGATTCTTTTTGTTTAGGCTTTTCTGAGATTGAGTGGTGAGTGCTGTGTGTGTGTTCGCGCCTGTGCGTGCGTGCGTGCGTGTGTGTGTGTGTGTGTGTGTGTGTGTGTGTGTGTGTGTGTGTGTGTTGGTATGTAACCACTGCTGATCTTCTGAAGATCCAGCCTCAGTGTGTTGACTTTATAGGTGTATACCACCAATGTAGTGAAGGCATCTGCTACTTCTGGTTTGTTTTGTTTTTCAAGACAGGATTTCTTTGTAGCTTCCTGGAACTCCCTCTGTTGTAGAACAGGCTGGTTTCGAACTCACAGAGGTCTGCCTGGCTCTGTCCCTAGAGTGCTGGGATTAAAGGCATGCCACTACCACCTGGCTGCATTTGCTACTCCTAAACAAATTTGTCACTTAAGAATCCCTAGGCTGTTGTCTAAGCTTGTGCCCTTATTTGAAGTCTTAAACACAGTTTCTCAGTATCCTGAGGTGTGTTTTTGTCACAAACACTGGTTTTTAGACTTTACATTCATATTTTAATCTTTCTTTAACAATAAAGTTGCCTTATAGCTACTGACATATGAAATAGTTGTTAGTGATGGCGTTTCACCTGGACATGGTAGAACATGCTGGTACCTGCTTGAAATTCCAGTACTTGGAAATAAAGACCAACAGATCAACAGATTAGGAATTCAATGTCATCATCAGCTACATTTTCTAGTTTGAGGTCAGTCTGTTAAACACACACACACACACACACACACAAAACCCCATTCCCAAAACAGGCATCTCACTTTCAAATTAATGCCCTCGATTTTCTCTAAAATGTCCCAAAGTGTGTGTGTGTGTGTGTGTGTGCGCGCGCGCGTGTGTGCACATGTGTAGAAGCTAGAGGCTGATCATTTCCACCTTATTTTATTCACTTGTGTGTATGTGAGAGGCTAAACATATGCTTTGGCTGGCATGTAGAGTCAGAGGACAACTTGCAGAGGTTCCAGGGATTGAGCTTAGGTCGGTTTGGTGTCCAGCATTCTTGTCTGCTGAACCATCTGTCCAGCTCCCACCCAAGCTTACTCACTGAGGCCAGGTCTCTAGGTCAAACCCAGAGTTCCCACTATGATTGGTTTTTGTAGCCAGCTTGCTCTGAGAGCCTCTGACTCTACCTTAGAGCCTGGGATGATAGGAGTGTTACCTCGTCCACCTGCATTTCTATGGACTCTGAGACTCTGAACTTGGGCTCTCATGCTTATGTAGCAGGTGTTTCCCAGCTCTTTCCCACACCCTTGTCTTGAGGTGCTAACACAATGTTTTTTCCAGAATAATGGTTGCTGGTCATGGAGTCAGGGTATCCGCCTGTCTCTGCGCCCACAGTGCTATGGTTAGAGTGAGCTGCAGCATCCAGCTTTTACATTGGTGCCTCATGCTTGTGCAATAGGCATTTTATAGATTTGAGACCTCTTCCTGGTCCCAGTTTTGCATTTCATATTTTCTTTAAGAAATTTTATTTTTAATCTATCTGTGTTTTGTCTATATGCATATCTGTGCACCAAATACATACCTGGCTCCTGCAGAGGCTGGAAGGTCATTGGATCCCCTGGGACTAGAATTTTTTTTTTTTTTTGAGACAGGGTTTCTCTGTAGCTTTGGAAGCTGTCCTGGAACTAGCTCTTGTAGACCAGGCTGGCCTTGAACTCACAGAGATCCACCTGCCCCTGCCTTCTGAGTGTTGGGACTAAAGTCGTGTGCCACCATCACCCAGCAGGGCTAGAATTCTAATAGGCTGTTGTGAGCTGCCATGTCAGTGCTGGGATGGAATCCCTAGGTCTTCTGGAAGAGCAACCAGTACTTTTAATCTCTGAGCCATCTCTCCAGCCCCTACTTTGTTTTTAAAGAAAGTATTTGTACTCTAAACAGGGCAAAGTCGTTATTAGCCCTGCCTGTATAAGGCATGATATGGCTTAAAATTTTTTGTTGCTTTTTGTGTGTGCTTGGTCTGCATGTTTTTGTGTATCACTTGTACACTTGTGCCTGGTGCCTGTGGAGGCCAGGAGACGGTTTATCACCTGAAACTGGAGTTACAGATGGTTGTGAGCCATCAGATGGCTTCTGGGAACCCAATCTGGGTTTTCTGCAAGACCAGCAACTTTTCTTAACCACTAAGCTGTCTCTCTAGACCTATATTATGTGATTTTTTTTTTTAAAAAACAAGTATTATGCATTTAGTATTACTTGTAGTATTGATCTTTAACATTCCAAATATCAATGGAGCACGGTGGTGCACACCTATAATCTTAGTTCTTGGTGACTGAGGCAAGAGGATAGTGAATTTGAGGATAACTTGGGCTGTGTAAGAGAACCCATCTTACCAGAACAAAGCAAAACTCAGCCAAACAAAGTCAGTATCATTTCTGGAAAAAAAAAAAGTGTGTGTGTGTGTGTGTGTGTGTGTGTGTGTGTGTGTGTGTGTGACTGTGTTAATAGCAGATCTCTTTGATTTACCAGCTTTTACTCTGATTACATATGTAATTACATATAATTTCACAGAGGAAGGCATTCTGTTAAAAGTCAGGCTAGACTTTTCTCCTAATGCCTTGAGGTTCGCTCCTCATTCTCACATGTATGTGTAGTGTGCATGTGTGTATGCATGCTTGGCATATGTGTGGGCGTGTGTGTGTGTGTGTGTGTGTGTGTGTGTGTGTGTGTATGGAGGGGTACATGGAAGCCTGAGTTTGTCAGGAATTTTCCTTGGCTCTTCTGCCATTTTAATTGGAGTGATGAGTTCTCTTCATCAACCCAGTTTCCCATGTGACTAGTCTTGCTAACCAGTTTGATCTGGGGAATCTCCAATCTCCACCTTCAGAGGCTGGAATTACAGGTGAGCCACCTCACCTTCCTGACATTGACGTGGGTTCTGAGGCTCTGAACTCATGTCCTCATGCTTATTTATGTGGCAAGTGCTTAGCACTGAGTCATCTCACAAAACTACTTCTTGAGGTTTTAGCACAGTATTTTATCCAAATAATTCCATGCCTATTTATGCTCCCTGTGGTTTATCTTTAGGTCTGGCTATTGGCTTTTTTTTTTTTAATTGTTTTAATATGGATGGTCTAGTTCAGCGCCTTATGCATACTAGATCAGTGCTCTACCTCTGAACTATGTCAGCAGCCCTGGCTATCATCAGTCTTCAACGATCTACCCTTGTCTTCTAAGAAGCAAGGTACCAGCGTAAGCTCGTTTCTCCACTGTAATTTCAGATAGGTTTTCCTGCTTTACTCTATTCCTATATGTACTGGCCAATATTTGAGGTTTAATGTTTTGTCTCTTAAGCAGTTCCTCGTTAGACTAAAGTACCACCTATCCTACTGTAAAAAACAAAACCAAACTATGCACACTCCAGAGTGTGGAATTTCTTCATTGTACCAACCCCCAACAAACACCCTATAGAATCCCATTTGCTGGTGGTTCTTTTTCTAACACTGTCTCTAGCCTTCCTGGAGAAGAAGGGAAGGCCTGCTAGAGAAAGCCCTTTGCTTGTTTGGATGGTGCTGGAGATTGAGCCTAGAGCCTCACACATGCTAAGCTCTGCCATGGAGCTATAGCCCCAGCTCAAGAAAACCTTTGAAGGACAAGACTGCTCCTTCATAGGAGTTAGCACTTCAGCAGATTACAAAAATCACTTGGGGGCTTTCTGACTTTTCATTTGTTTCATGGCCTGGCTTTTGTTGCAGCCATAGGCAGCTTGTTTGTCTTGTTTTCCAGTATTTCACCGCATTATTCTTCATGGAGGCTATTCTGTGTGCTGTGAGCACACATGTGTGAGACTCAGATGATTGTTTAGCCTTATCTTAGACTCCATCATGGCTGATTCAGTATAGATTCTTACACAATCTCTCACCTTACTCTCTAGCAGATACCTTTGCAATGTATGTGAACTTAGTTATTGGTGATTGCGAGCCCGGTTGTAGGAGCTCACTGACCAGCTCATGGTCCAGCCATCCTGTCAGGTCTCCACTGAAGTGCTTATCTAGATACAGAAGTGTTTCCATAGAACAACACTGTTAGTGCCTCTCTGTAGTGTGAGGGCTAAGGTGGAGAGGAGGGATGGCTACACCCTCTAAATAGCCTATAAAGCATTCCTTCAGGGCTCAGTGGGAAAGCAAGCTTAGCCGAGTGTGTGAATCCAGCCCTCAGCAGGAGAAGCTGCAACAACAGAAGCTGCAGCCAAGGGTTTCGGTTTGTTTTCTGTTGTTTTGGGTGATATTATATGAATTTGCTTGATGTTTTTTCTTTTTTTAAAGAGCAGTCACTATACAACAGATACCTTTTTCTTTCCAGTTTCCAAAAAAAGACTTACAGCAAAATGAATAACCCAGCCATCCAGAGAATAGAAGACCAGATTGTCAAGTCTCCTGAAGACAAACGAGAATATCGTGGACTGGAGCTGGCCAATGGCATCAAAGTGCTCCTCATCAGTGATCCCACCACGGACAAGTCATCAGCGGCACTCGATGTGCACATAGGTACAATTTAGTCTTGTGGGTGATCCAGTGGCAACAGCATTTGATAGAGGGTGCCATGAGTGTAAGGACCCAATAGTTACCACATTTATGCTTTTTCTTACATTTTTATTATTTTTTGTTTGTTTTGGTTTTGTGACAAGATCTCACTCTGTAGCCTAGGCAACCTGAAATTCATGCTGGTCTCTAATTTGACATAATCCTGCCTCTCAAGTTATAGACATAAGCCATCATGTCTGTTTGTGGTGTTTTGAGACATGGTCTTGCCATGAGCTCAGGTTGGCCTAGAACACATTTAATAGAGTCCTTGTGTGTTTCCAGCTTAGGTGATATAACAGCAAAGAAATTGATTCTATCCTTCAAGCCAGTTCTTTCTTTCTCTGGCATATTGAACTTCATATTTTATAGATTCTTATGTATGCATTTCTTGTACATATAATGTCACTTTAGTCCTATTATCTGTAACACACATATTTAATGGGAAAAGAGTTCTTTTTAACAGTGGTTTCTTCTTTAATAAAAGCTTTAATTCAGTGACATTTTAGAATTGGGGGAATAAGGTAATAATGAGCAAATAACTACTACTTACCTTAATGCCGTACTTTGCAAATATCTAATTTTGTTGCTTTTCTTTTTTCCAGACAGGTTCTCTATTATGTAGCCTTGGCTGTTCTGGAACTCACTATGTAGACCAGGCTGCTGATACCTAATTTTTATCTAGAGGGCTAAGATAGGAATATATAAAAGATATAACTGAAGCAAGAGAAGTAAAGTATCCTGCTTAAAATTTCACAACTATGCTGAGTGTAGTGGCTCACATTTTTAACACTAGCAAGTGGGGGTTGGAGGCAGGAGGATTACTGCTAGCTTGAGACTGGTGTGGGGGTACATAGAGAAACTTTATTTTGAAACAACAGCAAACAGAAAATTAGAAATAAGAAAATTTTGTAATTGTGGAGCTGCTGCTCCTCCAACTAGGCTCCCCAGGGACATCCCATGGTTGACCTGTGCTGCCTGCTAAGTGATGTAACAGCCCTGGCTGTCCTGGAATTTACTGTGTAGATCAGGCTAGCCTCAAAGTCATAGAGAGCCAGCCGCCAGTCTGCCTCCCAAGTGCTGAGATTAAAGGCATGTGCCACTGCCTGGCTCAGCCTGGTTCTTCTTGTTTACTCTCTAAGTAATGCCATTTCAGAACAGCCACACTCTCTCGGTGTGTGTTACGTTGAGAATTCCTGTTTACTAGCCGTTATCAATAAAGAGTGATTAATTACATGTGTTTCCATTAATTACATATGTTTTTTCTCTTGCAGGTTCGTTGTCAGACCCTCCAAATATTGCTGGCTTAAGTCATTTTTGTGAACACATGCTGTTTTTGGGAACAAAGAAATATCCTAAAGAAAATGAATACAGCCAGTTTCTCAGTGAACATGCTGGGAGTTCTAATGCCTTTACTAGTGGAGAGCATACCAATTACTATTTCGATGTTTCGCATGAACACTTAGAAGGAGCCCTGGACAGGTAACACTGAATGCCTTGCCAAATGTTGAATTTTGTACAGTTACTCACATTAATAAAAGTAGTAATTACTGTTTTTCAAAGATGACATCACCTTTTTATAGTTTAACAAAGCTATTGTAGGGCCGATGAGGTGGCCATTGGTGGCCCTTGCCACTAAGTTTGTTGACCTGAGTTTGATATAGGATCCACATGATGGAAGGAGACTAAAGTCGTCCTCTGACCTCCACTTGCATTCCTCTCCTCCTCCCTGCCCAAGATAAATAAAAAGTCCCAAGATAATTAAATAAAGTATATATTTTTTCAAAAAGATATTTTGTAGCCAGGATTAGTGGCAAAAGCCTCTATTCCCACTCTGAGGCAGAGATAGTTGGTGTGAGAGCCAGGCCATCCAGGGCTACATAGTGAGATCCTGTCTTTAGAAGACATAGCCAGGCGGTGGTGGCGCAAGCCTTTGGTCCCAGCACTGGGGAGGCAGAGGCAGGCAGATCTCTCTGTTTGAGACCAGCCTGATCTACAAGAGCTAGTTCCAGGACAGCCTCCAAAGCCACAGAGAAACCCTGTCTTGAAAAAAACAAAACAAAAAAAGAAAGAAAACAAAACAAAAAACTATGTTTATAAAGCAGGAAAAGTTAATGAGAGATGCCACACATTTACTTCATGGTAGAAAGAAAATAATGATACAACTATAAACTGGCCTTTAGGACTATAAAAATATTATATTGACTTGTAAAATTCTTACTAGCCCTTCTCATTCTAACTGGACTCTCATCATTAACAGATGGTAAAGAATAACCTATGACAGGGCCTGGAGAGATGGCTCAGTGATAAGAATACTTGTTCTTCCAGAACATCCGGGTTTGTCCCAGCACCCACTTGGTGGCTCATAGCCATCTATAACTCTAATTCCAGGAGATCTGATGCCTTCTTCTCCCCTCCTCTGGTCCCAGACACACATAGTGCACATGTATACATGCAAGGAAAACACTTAAAAACACTAAAAGATCTTAAGAGTAAAAGGATAATTTGTGACTGTCACAGATCTCTTTTAAAACCCACCTAGTGTTCCAGATGTTATGTCTTAGATATTCTCTTTCACTGGTGTCACACTTCTCAGGGATACCTACTTAGTAGGTATAGAGTTAAAAACAAAACAAAGCACGATCCTGTGTGTGAGTGTGTGCATGCCATGGTTTTGTGTTAACGTGTTCCTCTGCAGGCATGTAGATGCCACAGAGTGCATGTGGAGTTTAGACAACCTTGCATGTCATGCTTGGCTTGCACCATTTGAAGTAGTCTCTCATCATTTGCTACCGTAGACAACACCAGGCTAGCTGTCTGCCTGCCAGCTCCCCTGAGGAGTGCTAGATTACAGACTCAGGGCACTGCATTTGGCTCCAAATTCAGGTCTTCAGCCTTGCACTGCAAAGGGCTTTACTCTCTGAGCCATCTCCCCAGCTCAGACACAGTCCAGCCAACCTGCTATTTCAACCTTTAAGGCATCTTGAGAGTATTGTATGGAGCAGGACAGTGTAATTCCTTTTAATTAAAATTTTTAAATGAGCCAGGTGTGGCGCACACCTTTAATCCCAGCACTTGGGAGGCAGAGGCAGGCAGATCTCTGAGTTTGAGGCCAGCCTGGTCTACACAATGAGTTCCAGGACAGCCAAGACTGTTAAACAGGGAAACCCTGTCTCAAAAAAACAAAGTAAAATGAAGTAACTTTTTAATTTACTTACTTAGTGTGTATGTGCAGTAATGCATATGTCACAGGATTCATGTAGAAGTCAGGACAGCGTGTGAGAGTTCTTATCTCCTTCCACTATATGGACCCAGGGGTTGAACTCAGGTCACCAGGCTTAGTGGCAGACACCATCTTGCTGGTCCCAATATAACTTTTTTTTTTAAGTAAATACATTCTTTTTCACATTTATTTATGTATATATTTTGTGTTTATGGGTGAGGTTTTTGTGGGTTTTTTTTTTTTTTGTTGTTGTTGTTTTGTTTTGTTTTCCTGTGTGTACACCAGAAGAGGGCATCAGATCCCATGGACTATAGTTATAGGTGGTTGTGAACCACCATCTGGGTGCTGGGAATTGAACTCAGGACTTCTACAAGAGTAGTCCTATGGACTCAAGAAAGGTATATTGGTTGCTTATGTAACATACCATGTTATTTGTTGAATTGATGCTTATTAAAAATTCATAGCCTATTTACTATTTTATAAAAGCTCGTAATCATGACTTAGACAGTTGTGGCATACTTGAGGTCTTTCATTGCACTGTTTTTTTTTCCTAGTAATTAAAGTTTTTCTAGAATTTGAATCACACCTTTTAAAATTCAGTCACTCACTTTGTTTGTCCTGAGGTGCTTGAGTTTTAATGAGATTCATACTGCGTTCTATATACATTTAAGATTTTTAAGACATTTAAAAAATTATCATTAAGTGTGTATGTGAGTGTTCATTATAGTGTGTGTGCTTGTGAGATGTGTGCATGATAAAGTGTGATGTGTTTGTGACGTGTGTGTGTGTGTGTGTGTGTGTGTGTGTGTGTGTTGGAGGATAGAGTTTGTGCACATGCCTTGATGCATATACGGAGGTCAGGGGGATTTTTCTCTTGCTACTGTGCATTCCTGAGACCAAACTTAGACTGTCAGGCTTGCATGGCAAGCACTTTTATTTGCTGAGATATTTCATTGGCTATACATTAAGGCTTGACAGAGTTATTAACTGCTTTTCCCCCTTTGAGGAAGTTTAAGTTTCATAAGAGATGTCAGACTGCAAAATGTAGGCTATAGCTGTCTCTTAAAGCCATTTTTGACCTTTTAACATTAATATACTTATATTTTCACTAATTTTAGCATCTCTGAAAAGATCAACACTTCTTATTTTACATATGTCCAATATTGTATTTTTCTTTTTTTTTTTCTTTTGGTTTTTCAAGACAGGGTTTCTCTGTATTGCTTTGGAGCCTGTTCTGGAACTTGCTCTGTAGACCAGGCTGGCCTAGAATTCACAGAGATCTGCCCGCCTCTGCCTCCTGAGTGCTGGGACTAAAGGCGTGGACCACCAACACCTGACTAATAGTGTATTTTTCTATTACTTAGAACTTCTTTTATATTCCTTTTTCTTAGAGCAATGGTACTTACTCCTTCCTTCCTTCCTTCCTTCCTTCCTTCCTTCCTTCCTTCCTTCCTTCCTTCCTTTTCTCTTTTTTTAAAATGAGACAGGTCTCACTATGTCCCTGGCTGACCTGGAACTCAGAGATCCACTTGCCTCTGCCTCCCAAGTTTTAGGGTTAGAGGTGTGTACCACCAGGGGATGTATGTGTGTGTGTGTGTGTGTGTGTGTGTGTGTGTGTGTGTGTGTGTGTGTGTGTATATATATATATATATATATATATATATATATATATATATATAAAATTTTTTTTCTGGGTCTTGTGCATTCTAGGCCAGCATTCTGTTACTGAGCTGTGTCCTCAACCCCAATTTCTTCTGGTCTTATGTAATTCATATTAACTATCTAACAGTTTGAAAACTATTTTAAAAGCTGTCCTTTCAAAATCATAGCTCTCAAGTTGGTAATTCTGTCTACACCCTTAGGTTTGCCCAGTTTTTCCTGTGTCCCTTGTTTGATGCAAGTTGTAAAGACAGAGAGGTGAATGCAGTTGACTCCGAACACGAGAAGAATGTGATGAATGATGCCTGGAGACTCTTCCAGTTGGAAAAAGCTACTGGGAATCCCAAGCATCCCTTCAGCAAATTTGGGACAGGTTTGTCAACATCATGCATCAGCCGCTGTACTCCTGGATCTCACTGAGTCTCATGGGTTCCCTGCATAGGATTTTCGTAACTTCTCATTTCATTTTGAATCCCTTTCAAGTAGGAGTAAACATATTTCAGGAGTAGAACAGTCAACCAGGGCTTCAAGCATGCTAGGCAGACATTCCAAATTAAGCCACACCCCTACTCTTTGTTTTTGTTTTTGAAACTGGGTCTTGCCTTGTAGCCCACCTAGCCTCAAACTTAAAATCCTCCTGTGGTAACTTTCTTACTGCTAGAATTGTAAGCAATTACCCAGCAAGGCTACTGTGCTTTTAAAAAACAATGATATTATTTAGTATATGTATAAATTTATGTTTATTTTATGATTTAGTTTAAATTTAGATCCCATTTTTTTAGACATGCAATAACTTCCAGAGAAATTGACATAACTACGGAATTAGGTGTTTGTAGAAGTTAATTAGAAAGGTAGGCATAGTGGCTTCCTAACTACACTCTTACAGAAGCCTCCCTGTCTCCCTCCCTCTCTCCTTCCCTCTCTCCCTCCCTCTCTCTCTCTCTCTGTTCTTTCCTTTCTTTCTTTTAGATGGGTCTTTTGTATCACAGGCTGATGTTATCACACTGTGTGGAGGAGGATAGGTTATCTTGAACTCTTGATCTCCCAAGTGCTGGGATTACAGACCTGACCACCCCCATTATTTCTTTTTAAATCTGAATCCTTGGTTGGTATCCACGTGGCTTCTCCCCCCCCCCCCATACCTTTGGTTTTAGTTCTATTGATTTTAATAAATTAGAAGCCTTTGTTCTTCCATGTTTGGTTTTGGTATTTGATTATGGCTTCTTGTTTTCCCTGTCCATGGAAATTAAAATGAGAGCAGTTGAGTATTTTCACAAGCAGTTTTCGAACAGGAAGGAGAAAATGTAGTTGTGGTTTTTCTCCAGTGATGTGTTTATCCAGTCATAACCCCATAGACACTGAGAGCAACTGGGTGTGGCCACCTGGGAAGGAGATGGAAGAGGAAGGGAGAGAGGGCGGCTCTGTGGACCAGAAGAAGTGGGAGGACTTTTGGGTGGGGCTGTGTTTCTGCTGTGGGTGACACTTTCTTAATTGTGTGTATGTTAAATTGTTACATAATCTTCCATAACAAGTTCCAATATTATAAAGGAGGCCATGTTTACTTTGTCAGTTGGTAAGTTATTTTTTTATTCCCCAGAAGGTAAAGGGCATTGTCTACACTAGCCGGGTCAACAGGTGGGGAGGCAAAGCAAACCCAGGATTTCCCAGGAGTCAAATCAGGCATGGTTTCTCAGCATCATGGTCTCCTTCCCACTGCTGGTTTTATTGAATGCTGTGTTAACAAGCACTTTCTTTACCTAGAGTGCTTATTTATTTGTTTGTTTTTGTTTAGTGTTTTGAAACACGGTCTCCTGAGAAACCCATGCCTTTCTCAGCCTCCTGAGGGCTGTGATGGCAGTTGTGTGTGTTACTCAGGTAGCCCACAGTGGCCTCAGACTCCCTCTGCAGTCCAGGGTGGCCTTTCAAGTGCAATGGTTGCTGCATACACCACTACATATGGCCTCCTCTGCCCGTAGTTTGATCAGGCTATTTTGTTTTTCTACCACGGAGTTGTGTGGGGTCTTTGTAAATTTTGGGTGTTAATTCATTATCAAATCTGCTATATGCAGATTTTTTACCAGTCTTTTCTTTCTGTTGGGTTTTTTCTTTTTTTGCTCTTCTATGCAAAGATTCATTAGATTGATGTAGTTTCATTTATGTAGCTTGAATTTATGATATGATGTGATATCAAAAAAGTCATTGGCATGGCAGTAGTAAATTTTTCTCTGTTGTTCTAGAAATCTTTTGTTAAATCTTTATCTGTTTTGATCCTAACTCTTCTTTTGTGTTCACACAAAATGGCAGGTGTTGAATCAGATTCATTTTTTAAAGGGTTTATAGATATATTTATTCATGGTATTACTGGACTATTAGTACAGAGACTAGAATACAAAGAAATCAATATTTTAAAGGAATCAATATATTTTTAAACTTTTGTTTTGTTTTTTTGACATAGAGTTTCTCTACATAATCTTGGCTGTCCTAGAACTCATTATGTAGACCAGGCTGGCCTTAAACTCACAGAGATCTACTTGCCCCTGCCTCCCAAATGCTGGGACCTTAAGTCGTATACCACCATTCCTGGTGGAATAATTGATTTTAAATATAACATTAGGTGGATGGATCATTTTGATCATTTTTTATGTGTATATCTGTGTGTTCTATGTTTGCCGTGTGTGTGTGAGTGTTTGTGGAAGCCAGAAAAGGGTGTCAGGTCTCTGGAACTGGAATTATAGGCAGTTGTGAGTCACCTGATGTGGGTGTTGGAAACAGAACTTGGGTTCTCCTTAAGAGCTATATACGTTCTTAACTGCTGGCCATTTCTTCAGCCCCCAAATCTGATTAAATTCACAAAGAAATGTAAAACTAGTTCTAGAGCTTTCATTCTGAATATAATTAGAACCGGAGTTCTAGTGTATTGCATTCTCAAACCAGCTAGATGGGCCAGCAAGATGGTTTAGCCCGGCAAGCCACTTCCTGCCAAGGCTGATCTGAGCTTGATCTCTGGGACCACATGGTAGAATAAGTAGCTCCTGCAAATTGTCCTTTGACCACATGCACACCCACACAGTATATACTCATAAGACACATAAATAAAATCAGCTGTTATTTTGTTGTACTTGGACAAAGCATAATCAGTTTTGTTTTTAATTAACTAGGCAGATAGGTAGGATTTTTATAACAGCTCTTTAATAGGATAGAAACCAGTGAGAGGAAAAAGCATCAATGCCAGATATATACAAAGTGGAGACCGTCAGTCATGGGCATGCCGATTCTACTGATTCCTAATCATGGGCACACTAGTTCTACTCTGTGAGTTCTAATTCTAGCAACAAACCAGTTAGCAGTAGCTTACATGCCTTTGTGCTCCAGATCAAAACCAATAGTAGCTCTGCTACTAGGGTTTCTGGGTTCAGTCAATGAACAGCTTAACCATCATGCTCTTGGTAATAATCCAAGAACATGGTTTCTACATTGCAGAATTATTGACAATGGAGGCCTTCCCACAGCTGAAAGCAGCCATACAATTTGAGGATCGGATTTCTACTTATATAATGCAACCATTTATAAATATTTATGATATCCAATGTAATATTGTGCAGATGTTAATTCCTGCCCCTATGTTAGGGTAAGGTTTCAATTACAAGGCCTTCCAAAGCTTTTGCCTTAACTTCCACTCTAGGCATTACTTTTTTTTTTTTTTTTTAACTTTTGAAACATGATCTCACTCTGTTGCCTTGGCTGGTCTGCAACTTGCTCCATAGACCAAACAGGCTTAAAATTAAAAGCAATCCTCCTGGGGCTAGAGAGAGGGCTCAGTGATTGAGAGCACCGGCTGTTCTTCTGAAGGGTTCGATTCCTAGCACCCACATGGCAACTGTCTGTAAGTCTAGTTCCAGGGGATCTGATACCTTCACACAGACATACATGCAGGCACATAAAATAAATAAATATTAAGAGAGAGATCCTCCTGCCTCTGCTCCTTAGTGCTGGGATTAAAGGCTTTGTGTCGCTACCACTCAAGCCTCGTTACCATGTTTGATTGGCCAAGGCTGAGTGTAAATTTTTAGAAGTCAAGACAGAGGTAACACAGAATGCAGTATACTTGGCTGTAGTAGGAAGTTGAAATGAATACAGCGCTAAAGAAGAATGTAAACAAGTAAACACAAGTAAACACACACCAAGAAACGTACAGCCCTTGCTACCCCTCGATGAGAGGAATTATGAAGAGCCAGGAACAAGCATTTGTCCGTTTCTCCTTTGTCCCTTTAATGTACCAGTTCAGGCCATGTTTTAATCACAGAGTAGGTCATGCCTAGAGGCAGCAAAACAATGACAGACAGCACAAGACTCTGCAGGAGCCCAGGTCCTCTGACAGTCCCCAAACTGGAAAGGACTTCTTCAGTCTCGAGATGGAGGAGAAAAGGCGAATTTCCATGTACTTTCACCCCGAGCAGGCTGCAGGGCCTCCAGTGAGAGGTTCCTGATAAGTCCTTGTACCTTCTGTCCATTCGGATAGCCCAGAAGTTAAATGACATTTTTATTCACTCTTCTGCATTTTGCCAGAACTAAATGGGCAACACCTTCACGACTGCAAATACCACTTTTGAGTCCACTGGTGTCCACAGAGGTTGGGAGCTGTGTTTCTTTCATAATCTGTGACCAGCAGATAATCAGTACCAGGTTTATGCACTAGCTGACAAATGCCCACATTCCCTCAGGCTGCTGTGAGCCAAAGGTCTGTCCCATCCCTGCTGTCACAGATATTTGGGTCAAAGCCACTTTCCAAAAGCTGCTTAGAATAAAGTATTCTATCAATACAGGCTTGTAGCAAGGAAGCATTCTGAGGATCGTTTATAAAAACATATGGTGGTGTGTGATGGTGTACCCTGTAATTGCTGCTTTTGGGAAGTGGAGGCCAGAAGATCAGGAGTTCAAGGTCATCCTCAGCTACATAGTGAGTTTAAGGCCAGCCTGAGCCACATGGTACCCTATCACAAACAAAGGTAGGGTACTGCTCTGACACGGTGGGAGGAATATGTGTAATCCATAGGATTAGATCTTCCCTTCAGTGGTCACTCAGTGCTTTATCTGAATTCCTTACAAAATTCAATGGAAATGGTCAGTGACGTGCCAGCTGTCATCTGCAGCCTAAAGCAGACTCCCAACAGCATCAGCTCCTACCAGCGGGGCCAATCAGAGGCAAGCAGAGCTTGCTCTGGCTTAGTGTTGGCTTCTTGCCCTTGACTTTTTGGCGTGACAGTGTAACATGAAAAATAAAAGGCCCGGAGACTGATATTGGGGTTCAGACTTCAAGCTGAAGATTAGAAAAGCAAAATGGCAGGCACTAGCTCTTACTACTGCCTCAGGCTGAATGGGCTGACCCTGCTGCCTGTCCTCAGTGTGGCTGGAGAATCCTGAGACTGAATGTCTTCCTATCTTCAGTGTGGCTGGAGAATGAATGCTTCATCTGAGTCCTTGATCCTGTTTTATATAGCCCTCATAAATCCTGGGATTAAGTTCGTGTGATTCCAAGTGCTGAGATCACCTTTGTGTGAGCTGTTTCTCTTTAGGACTGGATCAATTTTGTGTAGCTCAGTGTGGCCTTGAACTAACAGAGATCCATCTACTTCTTAATCCTGAGTCTTAGGATTAAAGGTGTGTGCCACCACTTCCTAGCTCTAAGGCTGCTGGAATTAAAGGTGTGTTTCACCACTGCCTGACCTCTATAGCTTGTGGCTGACTTTGCTTTCTGAATCCTCAGGCAAGCTTTAATAAATCATAAACAATATATCACCACAGGACAACTTTGTAATAGATAGTGATATTCATCCATTGGGCATACGGTGATTGTTTATCTGTGGAGTAGTGAGTATTGATCCTCTATGCCTTTCCTCCCTAATTGTGATTCTCTTAATTCTGTTATTCATTCTCCATTCATTAGCTTGTAGATACAATGAGTAGGAAAATCCCCTTTTCTACTGTTTGTTGGGCCAGTGGTACAGTTATTGAGCAGGATAAATGCTTCATTCATTCTGTTCATTTACCAATTTTCCAGATAATGTGATGGTTCTCTGCCATCCTTCAGAGATAACTAAGTTATGTTTTGAGTATCAAAATCCATTTGTGGATATAAAAATACTGATATATCTAACTGACTCAATGGTTACTATTGTGTAAGCTTTTCCACAGGCTTTGCATATACTTTGTTCCCCTTTGCCTTCCCCCCCCCCCCAGTAGTTAAACATTTTATTCAGAAGCAAAGTACACTGGAAGGGAGCATTGGGACCATCAGGCCGAAGCTGCTCAAGGTCATTTATTTCTTTAAAAAGCACTTTCCTTCCTTCCTTCCCTCCCTTCCTCCCTCCTTCCTTCCCTCCCTCCCTCCCTCCTTCCTTCCTTCCTTTTTTTGTCCTTTTGAAACAGAGTTTCTTTGTATAGTTCTAACTGTTCTGGAACTTGCTCTGTTGACTAGACTGGCCTCAGATGTGGAGATCTGCCTGCCTCTGCCTCCTGAGTGCTTGGATTAAAGGCATGTACCACCACATCCTGGCTTTTAAAAAAATTCTTATTTATTTATTATTCCTTTTTTTTTTTTTTTTTTTTAAAGGATGCTGGGTATAAAACTCAGCCCCATGCCTGTTCAACAAATTATCCACTATTGAGTGACACTCTTTACCTCCATGTTTCTTTCAGGGATATGTAGCTATGGAAAACTAGAAATTTTACTAAAAAATGAGAACCGAATCAATCAAGGGTGGATGTATTTTGTGATAGCACTTAGAAGATTCTCCTGAAGTCTTCTTTTTAGAACACATGTCTTATACTTAGATATACTTAGCTACCTGCAACAGAATTGTTCTTTTTCTTTTTTTTTAAAGATTTATTTATCATGTGTATTTAGTATTCTGCTGGCATGCATGCCTACACACCAGAAGAGGGCACCAGATCTCATTATAGATGGTGTGAGCCATCATGTGGGTGCTGGGAATCTTAAAGCAGGACCTCTGGAAGTGCAGCCAGTGCTCTTAACCTCTGAGCCATCTCTCCAGCCTCCAGAATTGCTCTTTTAAATTTTCCAGGAAAATTCATATTTGAAAAAAAAAAAAACTGTAGTATCTTCCAGAATTTCTAGAATATCAAGAAGATGTAAAAAATATTTTACTTTTTTGTTTTATTTTGTTTTTTTGAGACAGGGTTTCTCTGTATTGTTTTGGAACCTGTCGTGGAACTAGCTCTGTAGACCAGGCTGGCCTTGAACTCATAGAGATTCGGCTGCCTCTGCTTCCTGAGTGCTAGGATTAAAGGTGTGCATCACCAACGCCCAGCTTACTTTATTATTTATTATTTAATGTGTATAAGTGTTTTATCTGCATGTGTGTATATAATACATGTTTGCCTGGAAATCAGAAAAGGGTGTGAGACCCCCTGAAACTGGAGTTACAGATGGTTGTAAGCCACCATGTGGTCTGGGAACTGAACCCAGATCCTTTTGAACCATCTCTCCAGCCCTCAAGAACGGGCTTTAAAAAAAAGGTCTATAATGTTCCAACTAACTGGAATTAATTCATCTTTAGCATAATACTCTAAACCACGGGTCTTCAGATCACGTAGGGCTGTTGTGGCTGTGCTGTAGGTTTGGCCTTTGCTTGAGCACCTTTACTATTACACAGGTAGTTCAAGACACCTATAGTTTCTTTTTTTTAAATCAATTTTTATTTATTTATCTTCATGTATATAGGTATTTTACTTACATGCATATCTGTGCATCATATGTATGTCTGGTACCCACAGAGGCCAGAAGAGGGTGTCAGATTTCCCAGGACTGAAGTTACAGATAGCTGTGAGCTGCCATGTGGCTGCTGGGAATTGAGTCCAAGTCCTCTGGAAGAGCAGCCTGTGTTATCTCTCTAGTAATGAGATACTTATAATTTCTAAGACAGATATCTAAAATATCATACTGATTCCTTTTCACAATAGAAAAAAATGGTCTCAAAATATATGGGAAAAGTCAATTTTATTTTCTTGAAAATTAGAATTTGGATTACTGGTACTGTTTATAGACTTTTGTTTCTGGTCTTAAATACAATTTCAAGTAGTTGTTACAGTGAAAATATGCAGTGCATTTAATGGCTTTTCTAATTTTCAAAGCCCTCTTCACGTACACAACACATTCTTTTCCTTGTGTTGATACTGTACCATGCACATGCTAGACAAGCATTTTCCATGCTGAGCTACATCCCCAGCCTCATCCTGTCTCTCAGGCTCCTAGGTTGTCTGTCTCACAGTGGGGAGTGAAGGAGTCAGGTATAACTCTGCCCTTGACCACTGGCCATGTCTCCATGTCATCGGGTTTGCAGACCCCTTTGGGATGTTTGGAGGCTTTTTCAAAGTTACTTAACTTTCAGCTGATGGAGTCAGGCAGAACAAGAATTCCTGAATGTTGCCTGGTGGTGGTAGTGCACACCTTTAATCCCAGCACTGGAAGGAGTCACAGACCGAGGATCTCTGTGGGTTTGAGGCCAGCCTGGTCTACAGAGCAAATTCCAAGATAGGTTCCAAAGTTAGACCGAGAAACCCTGAGAAACCCTGTCAAACAAACAAACAAACAAACAAACAAAACATAGAAACAAACAAACAAACAACAAAAAAAAAAGAATTCCTGAATGTCCTAAATGCCAGCCAAGGCAGGATTTCTCCCATCAGACCTTGGGTGAAAGGGTCACAATCAACATCCTGATGTCCTCAGTCTAGAGCTAGGGCTTGCTTTAATATTGACAGAGCCAGGTAGGATTTCTGAACTGAGTGGTAGCATTTTAATTTGGTACAAATGACCCAGCTGAATTAGCACTGATTTAGGGCATTGTGTGTCTGAAGAGTGAACTGTTTGTTGTTAACTCAGCTGTATTCACATTGTTCCCTACATGTGGGATTTTGGGTGGGAAACGGTCACCAGGACTGAATTCAGCTTTCTTCTCTACTTTTCAAGCTCTAGTGTTTACTTTCTCTCATTTGGAATACATGCATCTTTTTGTGTGATACATACACTTCCCTGTAGCAGCAGCCCCTAGTTTACAAGGTCTTTATTACAGAATGTCACTGATTTTGATATGCGGAGAGCTCACACTGGCATACCATGTGCATCACTTGCGAGCTATAAAAATGACACTGCATCCTATTTTTCCCAATTTAGATGAAACCCAGGAGAATTCACATCACAAATTTAATGCTTTTTCTCAAAATAGTAAATTTGTTCTTTTCTTTCCACAAGTGTAACTTGGTAAATTCCAAAAAGATTCCCCCAGTGAGTCTGTTCAATTAATTATAGGATGCACAGGGAATTGAAAACCAAAGCAAATGTGACTGGAAGCCAGTGGATCTCATTTTATCTAAAAATGGCCATAATGCCTATCTCCTGAAGATTTTAACAAGGTTTTTATTCATTTGCTGTTGAGACAAAGTCTTTTTAACCCAGACTGACCTCAAACTCACTATGTAGCAGTCTGACCTGCAATCCTTCTGCCTCAGCCTTCTAACTATTAGGATTATAAGCATATGCCACCAAGCATAGCTTTCATATAACATTTTTAGTTCTTTATGGAAAATTCTGAAAAACATTACTAGTTAGCCAGATGTGGTTTTGACCCAAGCACTCAGAGAAAAAGGCAGGCAGCTTGGTCTAATGTATCAAATGAGCCTGGGCTACAAAGAGACCCTGCCTCAAACAAACAAATAAAAGTAATAATCTGTTTTTACTGTTTTGCCCTGCCCCTGTTCATTCACACTGTGTTCAAACATGAAACATGTTAGTTTCTTAAGGTTCATCTTATAGTTTCTTAAGTGTCAGTAACAAGGAAACTGTTAAGTTCCCAAATGGTGCCTTATCTAAGAAATACCTTTCATTCGTTTTTAGGAAACAAATACACTCTAGAGACTCGACCCAACCAAGAAGGCATCGATGTAAGGCAAGAACTCCTGAAATTTCATTCCACATATTATTCGTCCAATCTGATGGCTATTTGTGTTTTAGGTCGAGGTAAGAACTCTTCAAAAAATTCATAGTTAGGGAATGGTTTTTGATTTTTTTTTTTTTTTTTTTTTTTTTTTTTGTCCATTTTGACTTTTTACAAAGTATTAGAAGAGTATGAGGTATAGGTGTTTATCTGCTCATAGTCTTTTGAAGATGATCTGCAGATGAGAACTTTACTTAAGCTTGCTGTCTTCCAAAAAGAACGTGTGAATTACTGATAGGTTTTCTATCAGTAATATCTATCATAATAAGGAAAGGATACATGGTAGAAGACTGACAGAATTGATCTTATAGTAGTTAAAAATTCTGCAAATAGAATGAAAATGTAAAAGACAATAGATGGGAGGAAGTATTTGTAAGCACCAAAGATTTATTTTTAAGGTGGGGATTATTGATAATATGTTTTTCTTTCAAACTGCTGTGTTTTTGCTTTGTTTTAAGCAGTGCTGGGTTTGGATGTGGCTGCTATTGTATATTGCTGGTGGTAAATGGGACTTTTAGTTGCCCTAGTCTTTCTGAAGGGCAATTTCTTTTTATGGTTATTTGAGGCATTGTCTCACTGTGTAGACCAGGCTGGCTTTGAATTTGATAGTCCTTCTGCTCCTGCCTACTAAGCGTTGCAATTATAGGTAGGAGTCTGGCCCAAAATTAAAATAGTTATATTTGGGTTGGATACAAGACATAATGAAAAAACAGAATGCTAAAAATGTATGAATGTAGTGCAGCAGTTAGAACTCACACTCTATAGTGTTCAGTAGACTTTGATGGCCAGATATACCACCTACTTAACTCTGTGGACTTGGCGCTTGTGAAATGGAGATGGGGGCTGGAGAGGCTGTCTTCTGACCCATTGTGTATGCGCACATGTAAGTAAATGTAACCTAAAAAAACTTTGTCGTACTGCTTACTAAAGATATATAGCCTAAGTTACTGGATATGTAGAACCCAGTCCTGGAAAATGGGTACCTAAAAGCTACGTTGTATCTCAGATAAAAATGTATGATGTCTGCCAAGATTTGTGATAAATACTAATTATTTTAACTTTGGCACAGTGGCTGTAACTCTATCTACTGCTAGCTATCTCAGACAGCCATTTCAACTCCTCACTTATCCACCCTGCTTCTCTAGTGGCGCCCTGGGCGCTCAGGCCACAGCCTGGTGGGAACCTTGTCCCCACAGGCACCTTTAACTAAAGGTAGCTTTAACTAAAACTCAAGGTTCATAATGCTGGGGTGAAAACCTGCTATCTCGGAGAGGCTGGGTTTTAATTAGCTAACCTTCCCTCTTTGTTGACCTCTCCAAAGGCCCATGCTTCCCCACTTAGCCACTCCAGAAAAGGCTGTGCCTCTCCAAACCCCACCCTACTACTTCCTGTGTCTCTCTGGCTCTCCCAGACATCCTCTGAGGCTCTAGGATTACTTTCTGTCAACTAGTTGCTAACTCTGCCTCCTGACCCAAGCTTAATTTTATTTAATTAACACAAATGCAAACTCAGGGTTCACAGTATGATGGAATATCCCCCAACAGCTAATGGCACTAACTGAATTAAACTTGAGCTCTGCCCTCAGTGTTTTTGATTTAATAGAAGTGATAGAGTAAGTATCTTAAAAAAAAAAAAAAAAAAAAAAAAAAAAATCAGATGTTTCATTTTCCTGGCCAGTACACATCACTTCCAACCTAACTGGCTTCTGCATTGAGCTCAGTAGAGTTGAGGGTGGATTCTGGGTGATGTGTCCTTGCATTACAGAGATGTGAGGAAGAAACACTGTCTTTTACTGGATAAATAAAGGATTCACTTTTTCTTTGGGGACGAAAGGACAAAAACATTGTCTTTGTTATAGGAGTTCTTCTGGTTGTAGCAGCACCAAATGTCCAAACATTTGGCAAATAAGTAACGATCAAGTATAGACAATGAGAGGTTACGAAGCCCTGATGTCACAGTTAAGAGGCTCAGCTCCCTGGGCCCTGGTGCTCTCAGCTTAGGAAAGCCAGACTGTGCAGTGTTACTCAGGTGCCTTGCCTTTTAGAAAGTTCCATTGGTGGTGCTGGAGAGATGGCTCAGTACTTGTTTCTCTTGCAGGGAACCTGAGCTTGGTTCCCAGCACTCACATGGATGGCTTAGAACCATCTGTAGATCCAATTCCAAGAGATCTTGACACATTCTACTGACTTCCATAGGCCACAGGTATGCGTGTGTTGCACATGCATACATGCAGGCAAACACTCATAAAATAATAATTTTTTAAAAAAAAATCTCCATGTGGTTTTTGTGTGTTAAGGGTAGAAATACAGAGAGTTGTAGCATATCTGGTAAAACTTATCTGAAGTACTTCACTGTCATTAATACTTGATGTTGACAAAACAGTTGGCAGTCCTCCATGCCTCAAGTTTTATGTTCTATCAGTGCATAAAGATGTCTCCTGGCGTTTTGTTTTCTTCCACTCTTAAAAATAAGTAGCCCAGACTGGTCTATAATTCAAAAAACTCCAAAGTTGGCCTTCCTTTGGAATGTTAGGTGTGTGCCTCCATGCCTGGCCATCTGACAGCTCTTGCATCAAATACATTTCACCCATTCTCCAGTTCACTTGTCATATAACAATTAATCCCTGGTCTGCCTTTTGTCTGACTGTGCACATTTTCCTAAGTACAGCTAAGTAGTTGGTTGTGATAGTGTATACCTTTAGTCCCCATGCTTATAAGGTATAGACAGATGGATCTCTGTGAATTCCAGGCCAGCTTGGTCTACAAAGTAGATTCCAAGCCATCCAGGAACATAGCTAAGTGCTCTGTTGCCTCTGATATTTGTTTGGGATTTGTTGCAAGGTTACATATATGGACAATATATATGCAATCTATTATGAAAACTGTCTGGACATTTGCATCTGCACAGCAGAAGTGACTGTGAGAGACACAGCTGTCAGTGTTCCGCAGAAGCTTTTTGCAGTGTAGGCGGTGAGTCTGACCGCTTCATCTTGATCAGATTCAGGGCCTTTTTATTTTATGTTTTCCAGGTTTTTCTTTTAAAACTGGAAGACATTTCAGAAGTCCTAAGGCCTGAAATCCTATCTGTACTTCAGGTTCTGGCCGGTTAAATTCTGTTCTTTGTCTTCGTTTCTTGTAGAATCTTTAGATGACCTGACTAATCTGGTGGTGAAGTTATTTTCTGAAGTAGAGAATAAAAATGTCCCTTTGCCTGAATTTCCCGAGCATCCTTTCCAAGAAGAACATCTTAAAGTACGTGCCCAGAATTCTGTTATTTTTCATTTGTGGGTATCATGGAATCAAATCAATTTTATATGTAGTAGGGACATGTATCAATTAAAAATGCACAAATATGTTTTGATCTTGGCATGCTACGAGTAGTTTGTGTAGCTGTGACCTTGGCAGGCTATTAAAAATGTTGTCAGTGCCAGAAGGCAAGTATCCAAATCTGTCTCAGGGTCCAGGGCACCTAGGGCACCAAGCCCAGATCACTTAGCCCATGTAATAAATATGTCCTGAAAGAGAACCAGACTCACTTAGTTCTTTGTGGTCATTTCTTTGCAGTCTGGCAGCTTATTAACCAAAAATCAGCATTCTTCATTATTACTAAGTATTTCACTCTGTAGAAGTTGTATATAGCAAATATTTTGTGATTTGTCTTTTTTTTTTTTTTTTCCCAGCAACTTTATAAAATAGTACCCATTAAGGATATTAGGAATCTTTATGTGACGTTCCCCATACCAGACCTTCAGCAGTACTACAAATCTAATCCTGGTCATTATCTTGGTCATCTAATTGGGCATGAAGGTCCTGGGAGCCTGTTGTCAGAACTCAAGTCAAAGGGTAAGTGTCTTTGGGCAGTGCTCTGAATGTAGTCCCCCCCATCTTTCACTGGGCCCCTCATTGTCACCTAGGAAGGGTTTTAGATGACACCGTTGGTGGTCTTAAGTAAAGTGGTCATTGTTACTGTGTCTTTGCTTTGTTTGGGGCTCCTTTTCACAAACCTATTTTACCCTTGATTATTAATTGACTAGTGAAGGTGAGCTATTTCATAAGTTATCATCATGTACGTTGGAATTGAACCTTTGCACCTGCTAGGCAGGTACTCTACCCCTGAGCCATATACTCAGCTATGCTTTAAGTGGTAAAGAGGTGAAGAAAGTCACAGTTCAGCTGAGTGCAGTGGCACATCCCTGTAAACCCACCTGTCAGGAGGCCGAGGCAGGAAGGTCACCGATTAGAGGCCAGCCTATCTCAAAATTTGAAAGAAAAGCCTGTGATGGATTTTCCCCCTAAGTATTTATGTGTACATATTGCTTATTTACCTGCTTTGATCCATCAGATCAGAAAGGTGTAGGATCTAGAAAGAAGATGGTTTCCAAAGCCCTCTCAGGACTTACTGTTGCTACTGTATACATGTAAGCACTTGTGCAATTGCTGGTGGAGGTTGATGTGCTTCCAGAGCTTCCTGAGCTAAGTCTTTCCTTGCAGGGTCCACTTTAATTTCTTCAATTATATGATATGGATAGTCCTTGGATGAAGTAGTGGTGGTGCATACCTGAAATCCAGCAAGTCTAAGGCTAATCTTAGCTACACAGGGAGTTCCAAAGTGTGCGTGTGTGGTGTTCAGGATTGAAATCAAAGTGTCCATAGGTGTGAAGTAAACACTGTACCACTGAGCTATGTCCCTTGTGAAAGAAACCAGGGTTGGCATACTGTCCCATCACTGGAAGCACTGGCTGCACAAGCCAGATGACCTGAGTTTGATCCCTGTATCCCGTGTGGAGGTGGAAGAGCCGACTTCCACATCATGTTCTGGCATGTGTGTACCACATACACATACACCGTGCACATAAGAATACAATTTTAAAAAAAGAAAAACCACACTTTTAACTTAATTGCCTTTTTCTTTGAATATTGCAGGCTGGGTTAATACCCTGGTTGGTGGACAGAAGGAAGGAGCCCGGGGTTTTATGTTTTTCATCATTAATGTGGACTTAACTGAAGAAGGGTTATGTAAGTACTGATTGGATTTATTTTTTAATTTCTCATGCCATAGGTCTGTTTCATGTTGAGAAGCTGTAAACACTTTAGTTCATATGCTTTCTCCATCGTATTCTCTATGTGTTAACTTGGCCTTTGTTTGTGATGATTCTTACCCCTTAACAATTGATTTTATGTTATATTGGTAGAATGTATACTTGTCTATTTTGTCATTTATCTGTGAGCCCAGAGGGTTGTGTGTGGGATAAATAAACCCAGACTCAGGGAGGCGAGGACTCCATTTTCTGAAAGGGACCATCTCCACTTGCCCGATTCCCTTAGGAGTGATCCATGCTTGAAGGATTCAAGGACTGAATGGTTTTTAAGTGTGCCCCTTTTTTCCAGTACATGTTGAAGATATAATTTTGCACATGTTTCAATACATTCAGAAGCTACGTGCAGAAGGACCTCAAGAATGGGTTTTCCAAGAGTGCAAGGTACTTTTGTTTCACCAAAATTTTTCTTAAGGAATCTATTTTTCAAAACCAAATATATGTGAACTAATTTAACCTTAAGGCCCATTTAAACTTTTGGGGTTTTTTTTCCCTAATTAAAGTCTAAAATGTTGCAATGCATAGTTGTATTAGTTAAGGCTTAGATATAGAAGTCTAATTTGTTCGCTGGGGCCCTGTTTAGGGGTTGAGATATTACATAGCCTCTGTAGGAGGAGAACTAGCATTTTTCAGGGTTTGTGTTACTTCCTGCCCGAAGCTGCATGAAATCAGTTTTTAAATCTAGTGAGAAAGCTCTACAGTGAACTCTAAAAGAAACAATAAATTGTTTCATGTGCAATAATTGTGTTCCTTAAAGTTATTTTATCATATGTGTAGAAAAGCCTCCATTCCCTCACACACACTCCCTTTTGAGACAAGGTCTCACTATGTAAACCAGCTGCTTTGAACCCACAGAGCTCTCTCTACCTGTGCCTCTTCCTCCCGAGTGCTGGGATTAAAGGCTGTATCTGGCCTTTTTTTTTTTTTTTTTTTTTTTTTTCCTTTCCCCAATATATATAACGCAGAAAGTGTTTGTCTTTCAATTCTTTTAATTCATCGTTATTTATTATTGTTATTATTATTTTCTGAACAGGGTTTCTCTGAATAGCCCTGGCTGTCCTGAAACTTTCTCTATAGACCAGACTAGCCTCAAACTCAGAGATCCACCTGCCTCTGCCTCCTAAGTTCAAGGACTAAACCACTACCACCCAGCTGTCTTTCAAATTTTCAAAGACTTCTTCTAAAGTCTAAAAAAATACTTTATATATAAAGACCTATCACAATTCTGACATGAATTTTGGATTGGGTTACTTTTTCCCACTGATGCTGGGGATCAAGTACTATACTTTGTGTGGGTTAAGCTAGCACCCTACCACTGAACTATATCTCCAGCCTAAAGAATATGCTGCTATACACAGTCAAAATGTATAATTATTGCTTGTGGAAATTATGACAATAATTTCTAACATGCAGCATTTCTTTGAATCATCATCTGTGGAATTTTTGGATTCACAGGTTGTACACAGTTCTCTGATGCCTTGACCAGTTGGCTCAGTGATTTAAGGTGTAGAACCTTTGGGTTTTTTGTTTTGTTTTGTTTTGTTTTAATTTTTAAAGCATCATCTTACTGCTGTGCCTTCTAGGCTGGCTTTAAACTTCTGATCCTCCTGTTTCAACCTCCTAAAGTGCTAGGATTCCAAAACTGTGCTGTCATGCCTAGATGTGGCTCCTCTCAGTTTACCTTCATTTAGAATTGTTTATTTATTTTTATTTATGCCTATGTTGATAATTTTTAAGTAATTTTTTCCATGTCTTATACATTCCTAAATCAAGTACTGCCAGTTTTTCATAAGTGTAATGATGATAAAATTGGAAGTACAAAGACTGTATAGTTCAAACAAAACACTAAAAATGTATTTCTGAATAATAATCGGCTTTTGTCTAATTGATTAACTTTCTGTTTTAGGACTTGAATGCTGTTGCTTTTAGGTTTAAAGATAAAGAGAGACCACGAGGCTATACATCCAAGATTGCAGGAAAACTGCATGTAAGTTGATTTTCCTGTGTACGGTGGTGTGTAGGATCTTTTAAGTCCTCCGTGTGTTACTATAGTACTACACAAATGATACAGTTGGGGCTCATAAAACCAGACAGTTTAGCACAGGGCAACCTTTGACAACAAGATCTGTTTAGAATATTACAGTTCCTTTTCCTAAAAACTTCCCTCTATAGTATTTTCATTATGTGGGCGTTTTGCTTATTGGCTGCATTTTTCATTCCTACAGCATGTGTCAGCTGCTCCTGTCCCTTCTCCCATTTCCCTTGCCACTGCTTTCGTCTGAGCTACTGTCATTTGCTACTTTGCTGCTTGCATGGTTTTCCATTTTGTTCTCCACAGTAGTTTTCTAGCGTCAGTGATTTTTTTTTTTTTTTTTAAGTCATACATCTTTAAAATTCTTTATTTTGTGGCGTTGGGGTCACACTCAAGGCCACATACATGCCAGGTAAGCACTATAAGCCTCCAGCCCCACCGTGGGGTTCAGAAAACTAAATGCAGATTGTTTTCTCCCAATGCTTAAAATTCACCAACAGTTTTCCCTGAGAGTTACCATCAAATCCAGACCGCCCTTGGCCTTTGCAGGAATCTGAGAGGTGCCATCTTTGCCGCGTTCCTAGCCGCTCTCCAGCCTCCCCTTCCGTGCCCGTTTTGCTGCGGCTGTACTAACTTTCTCACTTTCACACATTCATCGTACCCCTTTCTTTTTGTGGCATTGGAGATTGAATGCATGGCCTCTCATAGGCTAGGTGGGGCCTGCACCACAGAGCTGCACCCCAGGCCTCTTTCTTTGCACTTGTATTTTTCTCATTTTGAAACATTGTCGCTGAGTTGCTCTAACTGATCTTGAGCTTGCTTTGTAGCTCTGGCAGGCCTAGAACAGCATTCCTCCTGCGCAGCCTGTCTTCCGCAGGCCTTCAGTGTCAGGCCTGGCTGGCTCTTCCTTTGGTTTTTCTTTTTAGGACCTTTGAACTTGCTATTGTCTGTACATGGAGTGCGTCCCTCTGGTGTTTGTTTTTCCTTATCATAGATGGCTTTTGGGAAGACCTTCCTTGGCTTCCCAAATGATGCCTCTGCCTCTGCCGCTCTTATTTCCTTCACAGTTCCTATCATTATTATTCCACCGTTTGTTTATTGTGCCAATTAGAGTACATGTTCCCTGGAGAGTAAGGACTTCATGTGTCTTTCTACCCTTATGCCCTCAGTCCCTGAAGTAGTAGCTAGCACAGAAAAGGAGTTCAGTACAATTTCTGTGATGAGCCTGGTGGTGGTGGTGTCCCATGCCTTTAGTGTCAGCACTTGGGAGGTAGAGGCAGGCAGATCTCTGTGAGTTCGAGGCCAGCCTCGAGCAAGTTCCAGGTAATGCTCCGAAGCTACAGAGAAACCCTGTCTCAAAACACCAAAAAAAAAAAAAAAAAAAAAAAGATGAATCCAGTTTGTCTCAGTGCCAGAGACCTTTTTTTGGGTGGTGGGAAGAGATGGACATGATATGAGGGTGAATTAGGATGGCTGCCAGCAGCCTTTAATTGAGAAAAGATCACACTTTTATACCCTATAGTTGCACATAGGATTTAACAGGAGACAAGGGGCATGTGAGCTGAGTGTAATTTAAGATCAAGAGTTGAGGAATACAGCATTGACCTTGACAGTAGGCGCCAGTCTTATGTTAATGAAAGGCCACATGTTTCTCTTGCTAGAGATAAGAAAAATGATATCAAGCAGGAACTTTCCTCAAGCCCCCAAGGGAATGGAGGCCCTTGTCTAAATGCATGACCTTGGAAAAGGACTTCTGCATTACGTGTAGTCTACTGCATGGGCCTGTTCCCCTCAGCGCTCCTGCAAGGGAAGGTCCTCATGTCTTACTCTTTCCCATTATACTGAACTCCTGCCCTTCATGGCCTCAGGCTCTGGATCTGAACGGTTCATCCTTGGGATCAGGTGTGTCTAGTAAATCTCTAACTTTCCTGGTCTTGGTGTAATTAGGAGTGTATACTGGAATTCCTGGTTCCACAGTAGCAGGGATTTTTCCCAAAGAATTATTTTATTTTATCCAGAGAAGCTACCATTGTACACATTTCCATCCTTTACCAAAGCCCGCACAAAATTTCCCAAAAGAAAAGGCATTAGTAGTGAGAATCATTAGCAAATATCAATTTTTAACCAGAAATATATGTTTCCTCAAAACAAATATGAGAGCCAGGTCTGGTGGCTCATGTTTGTAGGAGGCTGAGGTAGGATGTTGAGTTCCAGGCTAGCCTGGGCTATAGACTCTACTTCCCCACCTCACGGAAAAAAGTGTCTCAGTAATATAAATATATGAAGGCTGACAGTATATTTGTCAGAATTATCACATTTTAGGACTTAAGGATGTGGCAGGTTTGGGTCAGGAACAGCTGAGGAAGCATAGGCCCTGGTTTAGTCTCCAGCACTGGACAAGAGAAAGATGCATCAGGGAACAGAGTAACACGCAGGGCCTCAGAGTGCTTGCTAATGGAATGGAACAAATTGAAGGAAAGGGACCTATGCATCAATAAACTTAACTTATTAGAAATCTGCTTACATTAACAAACACTGTGATAGCCTTCCCATGTTAACTATCTGTGCTTCCCCTCTTCACAGTATTATCCCCTAAATGGAGTGCTTACAGCTGAGTATTTGCTGGAAGAATTTAGACCTGACTTGATAGACATGGTTCTTGATAAGCTCAGACCAGAAAATGTCCGGTGAGTCATCTGCAGATTTTACTATTACGTACTAAACTTCTCTCGTGATTGTGAATAAAACACTTTTATTTCTACTTATCTATTTTTGAGACAGGCTCTCATTATGCAAGCTTGGCGACCTGAATTTGATCCCAAGGTAGAAGAAAAAACTGACCCCACAAAGTTGTTCTCTGACCATGCATGCATAACATAGCATGTGTACCCACATACACGGCATTCACTCACATGCACACACACCCTTGAAAAATCATGATTTAAATAGTAGTGTTTGCTTGTCAGTACCAATGTTTTTTAGGAGTGAACATGCTGGAGCCTGTGCTTTACTTTTGATTAAATTGCATGTTTCTAAATTTGATATCTTGTGCAATTAGACTTCTCTTTTTCTCCTTACCACAACTTTAAAGAAAATTGTTTTTCCTGTAGAGGCTTAGATCCTTTGATTGCTGTCATCATAACTGAGGCAGGTCACTAAGGAAGTGCAGAACAGCCTGGGATAATCTTGCCGACTGCCTGGCAAGAACTGTATTGCTTAATTATTTTTTAAATCCCACTGAGACAAGTTTAAGATTGACAGCAGCAAAGGAAATCCCTGGAATGAGAAGAATGTCAGAGGTCATTGGATGCAGCCCACCAGTCTGCTAGCTTACCCTGTACCACTTACATAATTACCTGCCTCAGTCTAAGTTCCTCTAATGATGGGAGCTCATTAAGTATTGAGGTAGAGAAATTTCTTTTCAGTGTTGATAATATTTGCTGGGCCATGGTTATTACCTGTTTTACATCATCATCATCATCATAACTCTCCTCCTTATACCTTTGATGTGTTTATCATATTCTACCTTGGTGCATCAGGAGTACCTTTGCTGTGTGCCTACCTTGACTCATAAATGGTCCTATTCATTTGGGAGTTGTTATTAATGATGAATCCACTCAAGTCCTGTCTTCTGGTCTCTTTCATAGTCTTAACCATTGACTGTAGAATTCTCTCAGTAGTCTGTGCCTAACCCACTGGCTTATGGTCACCTAGCCTGAGCTTTTGCTTTTTCTGTATTTGGTTCACTGCACCATTTAAGATCCATGGTGTTTTCCAAAGATAATTTAGTAAGAGTGGCACCGTGTCTTTTAACATGAGTTAGCTTGGCACAATTTGCTTTAAGCTATGTGTCCTATTGAGTATTTTCAGAACTCAAGCTGGTGTGGTAAGGGCTCAAGAAAAGTTGACTGAATGTTCCTTAAGCTTTTAGTGTAACATGAATAATCCAAACTTACAGACAGTTTTGGTGATATTAATTGATTATGATCTAATAAATCTTGCCTGGAGACCAGAAAAGCAAATTGACCAAGCACCAGAGAGCTCTCACCTCTACCAGTGTTCAGACTGAAGGGGTGATCCACTGAACCTCAGACTGCATCTCCAGACTGCACTGCTCCTCACCAGATCTCAGACTGCTGCCTGAGACTGCACTGTGCTCCTTATATTGTCTCTAGTGCTGGGATTAAAGGTGTGAGCTCTGCTACTCTTTTAGACTGATTCATGTCATGTAGACTGAGAGTCATGTAGCACAGAGTGGCCTTGAACTCATAGAGATCCTTCTGCCTCTGTCTCCTGAGTCCTGGGATTAAATGTGTGTGCCACTACTGCCCAGCTTCTATGGCCGTGGCTAGCTTTGCATTCTGGTCTCAAGGCAAGCTTTATTAGTTCATAACTAACATATCACCACAGTTTAGCCTCCTTTTTCTTCCTTACTTACTTAAAGTAATTCCTCCTTAGTTTCAGAAACAACATATAGCAGCTGGATTGAGGGCTCGGTGATTGAGAAGATACACAACACACAGACAGACATGTATACAGTGGTACACACACACACACACACACACACACACACACGCATGATTCACCATTTTTCATAAGTCAGGTTTTTCTTATCACTTGTCTTTTGCTGGTATTTGATCTTGTTTTATCAATAGAATTTTGGTTTGTTTATTTTGCACTTTTTTCTTTTGTGTTTATCATTTAAAAACCTAAGAGGTTAAGGGTGTAGCTTAGTGGTGGTGCATGTGCAAGGTTCTGGGTTTAATACTGGCATCTAAAACAAACAAAAATCTAATTTGTTATGAAACTGTAGGATTCTACTAGTGAAAGAATAAAGTTAATCTAATTTGAATCTCCTTTGTAGAAAAACAATGAAACTGAGGCCCGGAGAGGCTAAATGACTGACTAATTTAGATCTTCACAGAGATTTTGGCAAGATCTCAAAGGACATGAGTCAGAGTATCTACCAAAGCCAGGTTTCTACTTGTCAGCCTTGTGCCCTAAGAGTAACTGAATCCGTCCAGATTACCTGTGACACCTCTTTCCATCCTTCAGCTATTGTCTTCTTTTTCTCTCAGGCATTATTTGTAAAAGTCTCATGGGAAGTCATTCCCTGGAAACCACCCTTCTCTTAATATCTGTAGTGAGGAAGCCCTTTGTTTCCAGGTGGACTTCATCCAACTCTTGCACTCCTAAACATGTTTTCGCTAACATGAAGTCATCAGTAGGCCTGCAGTCTAGCCTCCCCTTTTATTAAACATTGGTTTCTTTTCTTATCCAATATAATCTGAATGCAGTTTCCCCATCCCTCTACTTCTCCCAGTTTCCGCCCACCTCCTCTCCCATCCAGATCCACTCCCTTTCTGTCTGTCCTTAGAAAAGAACAGGCTTCTAGGAGATACCAACAGGACTTAACAAAATAAAATATAATAAGGGAAAATGAAAACCATTGTATTGAAGTTGGATAAGACAAGCCAACAGAAAAAGAAAAGAGCCCCAAGAGAAGGCACAAGAATCAGAGACCCCCTCGTTTACACACTCAGGGGTGTGGCTGTGGGTCTCCGTGTTTGTTCCCATCTGCTGCAGGAGGGAGCCTCTCTGACGGTGGCTGAGTAAGGCGTGTGTCTATGAGGATAGTAGTTGGTTTTACTCTGGGTCTCTGGGCTGTCTAGACTCTGGTTCTTGGTCACTTGAGCAGTGTCAGGTACAGGTTCTGTCTTACGAAGCAGGCCTTAAGTCAAATCAGTTAGTCACTCCCACAAGCTTTGTACCACCATGGTCCTAGTGTATTTTACAGGCAGGACAGATTGTAGACCAATGGTTTTGTGGTTGGGTTGGTGTTCACATTCTCTTTTTTTTTTTTTTTTTTTTTTTTTTTTTCTCTTTTTTTCTTTTTTTTTTTTTTTTTTGTAGCCTGCAGTGTGACTTTCCATGTCATAAACACTAGAACATGGGGTGAGGGCTTTATGTGTATGGTGATATATTATTTATGATTTATTAAAGCTTGCCTGAGGATTCAGAAGAAAATTGCTTTCTAAATCCTTAGGCAAGCTTTAATAAATCATAAACTGTATGTCTCCACACAATGTAGGCACCAGTTCTGTCTCTTTGTGTTCAATGAGTTGTATGGGTGTTGTCTTCAACAATGGGTCCTTGTTATCACTTTGTGGAGAGCAACCTATTGTCTTGGCAATAACCTCAATTGTTTGGAGATTTCCATGAGACCCTTTCAGACAACTCAATTGGATGAAACCCAGTCTCAGGACTGAAAGCTTTTTTTAGTAATAAAAGATGGCTAGGAGGGATTCTATGCCCCTCATTATTGTAGACAATGAAATATCACGTTCATATATTATAGGAAGTTCCCATACTGCTCCTCAAATGCTCTTGAATTCTGCCTTTTCCCTCACTGTCCCCCTCCATCCCATCTCCCCTCTGCCTTCCAACCTGGCCCTCCCATTCTCACATCCGTCATTGGGGGTGGGCATGTGCTTTCCATGGCGTGCTTATGGAGGTCAGAGGACAACTTTGTGGAGTCAGTTCTCTCCTTCTACTTGAGACAGGGTTTCTCTGTGTATCCCTAGCTATCCTCGGTTATTGTGAAGCTCTATAGCCCAGGCTGGACTCGAACTCAGAGATCCTCCTGCCTCTGCCTCCCGAGTGCTGGAATTAAAGGTGTGCATTACCACCTCCCAGCTCTCCTTCTACTTTGATGTGGGTTCCAGGGATCAAATCCAGTCATGTTCTGCAGTGCATGCCTCTTAACTGCTGAGCTGTCTTGCAGGCCCCTGGGGAGGTTCTTGACTTGTCAGCATACATCATTTCCTTGTGGACCTTGTGACAGAACTCTTTCATCTCTGAAACTCTGATTCTTGTGCTTTTGTGGAATGTTTCTTCTTATTTAACTTGTTTTCCAGAATTGGTAGTGGTCAATGACAGGTAGACCAGTCTAGATTGGCAGATAGGTGAGTTGAGTTGATTAGCTTGTCTATTTCAAAGCAGGTTGATAAGACCAAGTACAGTTGTTCTGTAGCGTGAATAAGGGATAGAAGGTAATTCAGACAACTATCCATTGTTATTTGGAATAGAAATCATGATTCTGCATCTGGAAAAATGGCTTGCTAGAACCCAGGTAAGTGACAGGTAGCCATGTTGAACCGCTTAAGAGTTCCAGCCTTGGAAGACAGAGGCAGCGAATCCCTGGGCAATGTAGCTAGGGAGACTAACAGTATTGGTTAGCTCTGAGTTTGATTGAGAGACCCTACCTTTGTGAACAATGTGGAAGAACATTGAGGACGATTTAGCATCATCAATCTCAGACTGCCATGTGCATGCACCCACACACACATGCACAACACATACATGATACATGCAAATGGGAAAGAAAAGGAGATTCTGAAAGTGAATGGTATTGAGCAGAGGGATGTTTTGATGGTAGCATCAGGCGTTCAGCTTGAGGGCAGCACTCAGAGGCTCCACCAAATGTCTCAGGACAGATGGACGGAAGGAGGGAAGTGCTGACATAAACCTAGTTATTTGACTTTGACAGTAAAGAAGCTGAACTAACTGATTCATGCCAGTCCAGCCAAGCTAATTGGCTAGAATCCCTCAATCCAAAAGGTTCAAATTAGGCTTTGTCCCAGTGAAAGTTGACTGTGCTGCTGGACATGTAATGATTCCATTGGGACAGGTAAGAGAAGTGTCTGTGATGTTGCTCGCCAGGAAAAGCTTACAGAATTTTATTGATGGGAGATTTTTCGTACTCCTCTCCTTATTCCTCGTGATGCTTGACATCTAACTCACAACATATTTCATGATGGCCAGTGCTCTGCTGTTGACCTACATCTTCAGCCCAATGATTCTTAAAATATTCTTTGCCTGTGGACATTTTACTTCTACCATCCCTCCTTTCATTAGTTACTTTTCCATTGCTGTGCTAAAATGCCATGGCCAAGGCAGCCTATTAAAGGAGGATTAGTATGGCTTATGGTTCCAGAGGCATAAGATACTGTCATGGTAGGGAACCATGGCAGCAAGCGGCAGGCATGCCAGCGGGAGCAAGACGCTGGGAGCTCACATCTTGAACTGCATCTGTGGAGCAGAGAGCGAGAACTAGAAATGGCATGATGTTTTTATTTATTTATTTATAGCTGAGATAGCCATGAAGAGCAAGCTTGTAAGCAGTGTCCCTCCAAGATTCTTCCATCCCTGCCCAGGTCCCTGCCCTGACATCCCTCAGTGGAGGACTGACCTGCAAGGTGAAATAACCCTTTCTTCCCCAGAGTGCTTTTGGCCCTGGTGTTTACCACGGCAACAGAAAGCAAACAAGGATAAGGCCCAACACATTCTTGGACATAATTTACATTTTCATGAGTCAGGGTCCTGTACATAATTTACAGGCTTGTTTCTGTTTGTTTTTTCCATCTGTCTCTAGGGTGGCAATAGTTTCCAAATCATTTGAAGGGAAAACTGACCGCACAGAGCAATGGTATGGAACCCAGTACAAGCAAGAAGCTATACCAGAGGAAGTCATTCAGGTAGGCTCCCGTCACCTGGGAGTGAGTAAGCCCGACATGTGGGGACCCGGAGAGTCAACATAGGTTCCGGAGTGTGGAGAGTGGTGGCCCACTGCTGTCCTTACCGTCCCCGGAAGGCACGAGATAAGGCAGCAGGGGCCATGGGGCCATGGAGGACCGGCACAGCTGTGGAGAGCCGGCCATGGAGGACCGGCACAGCTGTGGAGAGCCGGCAGTGCTGGTGCAGTCCTGGCTGGCACACACTGTCCTTACTTTTCGGTAGCGCTGTATTTTTCCCTGTTTGCCAACGTAAGGGAATTGTGACTTATTTCCAAACAGTTGTGCTTAGATTGCATTCTACTACATTTGTCAGATTTTTGAGGTTCTGCTTAGTTACATAGAATCTTTTTCTCTCTTTCCCTGTTGACTGTGGACCCTTGAGTTTGTGTCTATTACTCAAAAGTACCAGAAAAGCTTACAAGTAATAAACTTTTTTTTTTTCAGTGATAACACAGGAAAAGAAATATTTTCTAATTTTTTATCTATTGTGTTTGCACAAAATGTATGTGGAGGTCAGAGGATAACCCTGTATGGCCAGTTCTCTCCTTCTAGTTCCAAATGGGTTCCCGAGATGGAGCTCAGGTATGCAGACTGCCGTGGCCAGCGTACCTGATGGGGTGTGACTAAATCCATATTCCTAAACAGAAGGACAGACATCTTTTTTAGTCAGTGCTGGGCTGCAATAAACTGAGGACAAAGGGAGCAGTCCGTTTACCAAATTCTGGCTATAACAGCCAGAGAATTTTTTTTTTTTTTTAATTTATCTGGAAGTTCAGCAGTGAGATGGCTTGCTGTGTGTTTCCAAGCCCTCCGCTCAGCCTTTCTGGAGACAAGCTGCTGCTTAAAAACCCTGTGCTCCACACCGATGCTCTGCCCATGCCAAAGATACTATGTGTTGACACCAAAATTGAACTGCACCGTCTACAAAGCTGTGGCATGTTAGCTAGGTGACAAGTGATGGGATCCAGAACCGATGGCACTTGCCTGCCCCTTTGAATTTTCAGTAATAAAAAGCCTTTTAGTTGTGAGCCTGAGCCTTTCACAGCTGAGCAGTCCCTGCAGCTGATAACATGTTGTAAATTAGGGATCAACTGTCAATGGCCTGTGATCTGTCCTGCTGGCACCAATTAGAAAGTTAGAACCAGTTCATGTGTGAACCTTAAATCTTTTCATTGTTTTATGGGCTCACTAGGCACTTTGCATGTCTTCTAAAAGAAATGTGGGTCAGACCTTAAGAAGCCCTGAAAGGATGGGCTGGTGACAGTGCTCAAGGGGGGATAAAATCACTTGCTGCCAAGGCTGATGACTCAAGTTCAATCCCCAGAGCCTGCATGCACCCATGGTGTGTGGAAGGAGATAATTGATTCCTACAGGTTGTCCTCTGACCTCTACAATAGGCACTGTGGTGTGTGCAGCTGCATACACAATCAGTAAGTGGAAAAAGCTAGGAGTAACAAAGTGGAAGAGGCCCAGCTAGCCTGCCCTTCAGGCTCTAACTGGAGGCAACAGCAATTGAGAATGTGGATTTGATTATCCCTGTGTAGATAGGTGGTTATCTTTTAAAGAGCAATATGATCCTATCAGTTTCTCTGTGTTCCACACAGATTTTTCTTTAAACAGCTGAGTAGACGCTCCAGAGAGGGGTCAGGGACAGGTGGGGTGGGAGGGGGGGGGGAGAGACATATAGATGAATGTAAAGTCTTTCTTAGTACCAGAAAGAGAAACTCAAGTTGCAAGAAAATCCATCAGAAACTGCTGATTCTGGTTGTAGCCCCTTCATATATGAGGGAGAATGCTCCTCCCTGTTTGCTCACATCGAGCAGAGATACCTTTTTGTTGTTGTTGTTTGTAGTTGGGGTCTCCCTGTATAGCCCTTGAGAAATCAGCCAGGCTGGTATCTTGCTAGGGATCTTTCTGCCTCTGCTTTTTGATAACACTTATTGCTATAGACCGAACCTGGGTATAACCTCAGCCCAAAGACAGTAGTTTTAACTCTTGGGTTCTGTTAATAATTGCTTTTGTATGTGTGTATTTTATTATTCATCTAGAAATGGCAAAATGCTGAACTGAATGGGAAATTTAAACTTCCAACAAAGAATGAATTTATTCCTACAAATTTTGAGATTTTGTCATTAGAAAAAGATGCAACATCCTACCCTGCTCTCATTAAGGTAATGTGTTGAGTCTGTGGTCTATTTGTTTATGATGAGGGTTTCCTTTTAGGGTACCCAACTCTTGGGGGGGGGGAAGTGGGCAAGTGTTCCTTTTGCCTTAGCCACAGAGTCAATGGTTTTAAATTTAAAGGTCAGACCTATTACATGGAGAAATAGAGGTAATTTCTTCTGTTTGATACTTTGTTGATTTAGGATTTGTCACATCCTATGAAATGATAGAAATGCTATAAAAGAATACAAGAAATTAAAAATGCAACAGCAAACAAAACTACCAAACAATAGAATATAGAGGATTGCTTTTTTGCAGAAAAAAAAGGTCAGGGCTCTAATGGACTAGAAAGTAGTGACCAAGTAGGGAGCCAGAGTCTTACAATTGAATCTTGGGGGTAGAGTACCATCGAGTCTGTCATTTTCTGTCAGTTAGGCAGACTAATTCTGATTAGAGCAGGACTATACGAGGGTGAAGCCCAGCCAGCAGGGTTATAGATCACTCTAGAGGCTGGCTGACACATCCATCCAAAAGATGCCCTGGGTTTCTTGGGCTCCCGGTGTGTAGAAAGATGACGCCAGTGTTTCCCATCTGTCTCCTGCATCATGTTCTCATCACCCCACTCATTGGCTGTAAAGGCTGGCTGCTTTCTGCCACAGGGGTTGGCAAGCTTCTCTGTTCTGCTTGTGAACCTGGTGCTTCAAGGTTGTGGGGCAGCAGCAACTTCAGAATCCTTTGACCCTCAGCTTCATGGGTGCTCCGAGCAGATACTTTTGTGAAATGCACCTCTGTTTCCCTAACCAAACTGTCTCTCTGTCACAGGATACAGCCATGAGTAAGCTGTGGTTCAAGCAAGATGATAAATTTTTCTTGCCGAAAGCTTGTCTCAACTTTGAGTTTTTCAGGTATGTAGTTGAGTCCAATTTAGGAAAACAACAATTACATTTTTGTTGAGATTTCTCTTCTTAAGCATGCATTCTTGAAATAATAAGGATTAGATTTCTCCTAGACAAGAAAAGACTGCTAAGAAGTGCTTAGAATCAAAGTTAATTATTCCTTGCATTAATGAGTGCTCCCTTTAGCTGAGTTGATTTATGGTAGCTCTTATTAGGAGGCTCTTATTATCCTTTGGGATTTGGGAATCTAGAAAAGCTATAGATTTATGGAGAAGGTTCGTTAAGGAAAGAATTAATGATTGGAATGTTTTCATTGGTTAATTTTTTTTTTTAATTCCTGAAACTTGCCCAGGGATGTGTGTGTACAAATAAACAAATAAATAAATAAATATGTGTGTGTGCATGTGCTCACATGCACATATATGCATGTGTGAATAAATACACATATTTGTGTGAGTAAATGAACACATGAATGTGTTTATACACACACACTCAAAGAGGAGGGAGATGGGGTTTTGGTTTTTGAGATAATATCTCAAAAACATAACTCATGTAACGATGTTTGCCTTTTAGAGAGGTCCATGCATGGATCCTTCTAACAATTACAGAAGTGACCTTCACTTTCTGGTATATCCTTAAGAGGAGCAAAGCCCAGAGAATGCCTCGACTCTCCTCATTACACACCTTGAACTAGGATTACCAAACTGCAGTTTTCACGTTTCTGATCCTCAGACATGTGTGCATCTCATGGTTAAATGTCAGTGGATTTAAACTGCTAAATCTTAGAATGCCTTAGAATAATGTGAACTAACACAGTCTGACTATTCTCCTGCCTTGGGATTACAGATGTCCACTACCAAACCTGACTTAGACTGTAATTTTACATTTCTGAACTAGATGTTCTCTTAAAAATGAGTTTATCACTGGGCAGTGGTGACACACACCTTTAATCCCAGCACTCAGCAGGCAGATGCAGACTGATCTCTGTGAATTTGAGGCCAGCCTGGTCTGTAGAGCAAGTTTCAGGGTAGCCAGGGGTACACTTTGACTTGAATAACTGGAAGAGAGGGAGGGAGGGAGGAATTGTATGTGTGTGTGTTGTGTCTTTTTCATCTTTTCAGAAGTAGGATTAAATCATGTATACTTTATATATACATTAAATCATGTATACTTAAAAATCACAGTTTTTAAGACCCTGTGAACAATATGTACATTTTTAATATCTGATTATAATGTATTTGGGCCAGAATTTACATATTTCAGTGGAATCAATGTCTCTTAAAGGTTAAACTTTTGGCCTATTTCAGTACCCTGTACACACAGTCATATGACTTGGTATTTTAGGACATTTGTCATTCTTTTCTAAGCTTGAATCAGATGGTATTGAACCACCAACCCTGGCACTACTAACTTTCAGACCCACCTGATGTCATGGCCTTATTTTGTTTTGATGGGCTGGCATCCTCACCGCCACCTCCCCCATAAGCCACTGTATGTGGTGTTGGTATGTGGGTGTAGGTGGGGGGGGTTGGGGTTGTGGGTGTGGGTGTATAATGCCTTAAGTGTAAAGCTCCTCATTGCCTAAAGAGCATTTGTCATCGTATGCAATACTGTAAGAGAATTAAAACAAGGTCAGAGAGATGACTCAGCAGGTAAAGGTGTTGCCACTAAGCCTGATAATCTGAGTTCGATCCTGATCCTAGGACTCATATGGTAGGAGAGAACCAGCTACCCCAGGTTGACTTCTGAATTTTATATGTGCCATATAATAGGTAATAGATGTGTGCACAGGTAGATGAATACGTTTTTTAAAAGAGAGAATTAAATGGCAGCATCCATTTAGATATTTTTCTCTTTGACTTTATTTCCTGCTTCCCCGTCCCCATAACCGTATCACCACCTGGCATATCAGCCTTTAGCTTATTGCTTGTCTCTGCCAGTTAAGCTATAAGCCCCGCACACTCCTCCTCTGCTCTCAGTTCCTAGAGAGCACTGTAGTAAGTGTGTTGTGATGCATACTGTTGAGTGCACGGCTCTTTCCTTGGTGTGGATAAAGGTAAGCGGTGTTGTATAGTCAACTAAGCAGGCTGACTTGTGTTTGAATCCTACTCTGCTGCTGGGGAAAATAGCTTCCTGTCTGAGAGAGGAAAGTTGATATCTGGTTTTATTTACCTGTTATATGCTGCAATTGCTTCTCTTTTCATACACTCTCACATAGGTATTCTCATACTGTAATTTTTTTAAAATCCTAGCTGCTTTATTAATGTTTGTTCCAGTAATGCTCTAGTTCTCTTGATTAGGGGTAAGCTAATATTTTCACGGTTCTTTTAAATCTTTCTCTTTTAAGGCCATACAGTTAGAGCACACAGGTTTCTCCGTTACATCTTCCTGTACCTTACGAGAGTAGCTTGCTTGGAGAGAGAAGACATGCCGATGCTGAATCAACTCACCAGTTATACCTCCTCTCAGCTGCTGAAGGCAGCCATGCACTTCAAACATTCACTTTCTCACCTGCCTTTCCTTCCTAGCTGGTTAATTCTCTATGCCAGATGTTCTCAACCTGTGGCTTGTGAGCCTTTCACAGGGGTCACATCTCTGACATTCTGTATATCAGATATTTACATCACGATTCATAACAATAGTAAAATTAGTTATGAAGTGGCAACAATGTAATTTTATGGTTGGGGTCGCCACAGCATGAGGATGTGTATTAAAGGGTCACATGCAGTATTAGGATGGTAAAGGGTCACACGCAGTATTAAGAAGTCTGAAGACCGCTGGCCTCATACCATCCAAGATAACCAGTTCTTTCCTCTCTGCCACCAATGCACACATGTAGCGTACTTGTGACATCTTCCCTCTTAGACAGATTCAAGGATTCAACCATGTCCTCAGAAATTATATAAGCTAATGTTCGGTTTCTTCGCCTGTCTCGAAAGGCCGCAGCACATTGGGAAGTAGTTCATCAGCTCTTTGACTGTCAACATTTTCTTCCAGCCCATTTGCTTATGTGGACCCCTTGCACTGTAACATGGCCTATTTGTACCTTGAGCTTCTCAAAGACTCACTCAACGAGTATGCATATGCAGCAGAGCTAGCGGGCCTGAGCTATGACCTCCAAAATACCATCTATGGGATGTATGTAAGTACCCATGCCTCAGCCTTCCACTCAGCATTTTTATATTAATTTGATGGAAGCGTTTTTAATTGTGGGTATGAGTTTAATTTATTTTAAAAATCTCCATGGCTTATCATATTTTCTCTTCATTTAATTTTTACGTTAGCTTTTATTCTAACATTCCACTGTGTACCGTTCATAGTATGCAGAGGTTTGTTTTTTGTTTTTTGGTTTTTTTTTTTTTTTTAAACATCTTTCATCAGAATGTCACATTTTTCTCCTCAAACAAAATTGTGCCCAATCTAGGTTTAGCTCTCACCCATTCTGTATCTGAGATCTTGAGAGGTTCAGAAAACAAAATGAAGTCATCTCTTTGTAAGAGTGTGAGGTTGGCCTACCCTGTTTCCTCAGAAGGCAGAGCACGAGGCTGCATATCCATACTCTTCGGTCATATCTCTTCATTGTCATGCCACCGTGTGAGGTATCAAAGCATTTTTCTGTTTTTCTTTTTGTTAGTCGCTACATTTATGCTGATCCTCTCCATTGCAACATGACATACCTGTTTATCAGGTTATTGAAGGATGATTTAAAAGAGTATACATATGCAGCACGCCTGTCAGGTTTGAGCTATGCCATTGCATCAGGAATGAATGCAATACTTGTAAGTAAAATGCAAAACAAAGAAAAGGCAGCACCCTGTTAGAGCTTTCTGTTGAGCTTGGGAAACTATTAATACCTGCATCTGTAAACAGGAAGGCTGGTGGTTTTCTTCCTGTGCCTTTTCAGTGACTGGAAGATTCAAATTAGTACTAGCTCACTAATAAGTGACTGGGAGAACTTAGTGCATCTTGTGAACATGTATGTGTGCTACATGTATGTGCATGTTCTGTTTGAGATGTTTAACATACTAATCCTAGAAGCATGTTTTTGTCCTAGTATATCTGAGTTCTTTTCTATTCATAAGTAAAAGCTATTTGTTATTATTGTGGTGTTTGAATTACATAAGCATCTCTTATTTCTAGAGACACTAGTAGAAAGTTCCTGTGTTCACATCCCCCTGGCAGCTTATTTTGTGGCATGTTTCATTAACTGTTTTACATGTGTTGTTCCTACATCTTACCCTGGATGATATCTCAGTTTCGAATCCATTTAATGGCACACATCCATTCTTACTGGTCTCGAAAGCACATGTTTAGTAAAAACTGAAATGGGCATATGTCCCAAAACTTAAATTTTCATTTATTTTGCAGAAGTGCTCTTCTTTTTACCGTTATTTTCCAAGTTGCTCTTGTTTAATGTATAAGAATACGTATAGTCTAAGCATTTTCAGAATCTACAGATTGAGACTTAGAGATCAAAATTAGCCACAAGTATTAAAGCAGCAGTTTGTTTTGTTTCTGGCTAATGGCTTTTAGCAGCTGTTAGCATTTATTTGTGATAAAGCAGGCTTTCTGATAGTTGTGGATCCTATGGTACACAGCCTGCTTCCTGTGGCCAAGGACTTTATTCCAGCTGTGGGTCTTGCCTGTCATTCCTCGCAGGGATGTTCTCCTCGAAGTGTATCCTGTGTTGCTCCAGGTGCTGCACACAGATATGTAATTACAGCCTTTCCCCTCCTTGCTTTCTGAATGTGAGGCTTTCAGAGGCTGGTAAAGTAAGAGATTCTAAGGCAAATCCTCATAGTATATACACTATATTTTCCCTACAAATCTGTGTGCTATTGGCATCTAGAACCTCAGTAGAACTTATAAAATAAGCAGGAAATTAAGATCATGATTCCTTAATAGATAACACTAAATGAGAGCAGTGTCGGGCTGTGAAATATAAAATTAGGGCTGCCTGATTATTTCCAAAGATGATTTTTCCCCCCCTTAGAGGAGGCAGGTAGTTGAGACAAGGTCTTGCTGTGCGTTCCTGACTAACCTGGAACTGGCTGAGTAAACCAAACTGGCCTCAGACATGGAGATGCCTGACCTCCTAGTTACATTGAGCCAGAGCTGACTATTTAAATACTTCTAAACAGTTTTGGGATGTGTCCAGCAGCTAGGTAACAGCCCCTGTGATTTCTTCCTTCTTACTACATTCATAAAAGTATTAATTCTGGAACTGGAGAGATGACTCAAAGGTTAAGAGCACTGGCTGCCCTTCCAGAGGTTCTGAGTTCAATTCCCAGCTACCACATGGTGTCTCACATCCATCTATAATGAAATCTGGTGCCCTATTCTGGCATGCAGGCAGAACACATCATAAACAAATCTTTTTTTTTTTTTTTTTTTTTTTAAGTATTCTACTATTCATCAGAGTCTTTAAAGGAAAATTTAGGAGCTTTGGGTGTCACTCCATGGAGGAGTGTATACTTAGCATGGTCCAGAGTTCAGTCTCCAAACCAAAAAAGAAAACAATAAAATTTAAAGCACATTCTGTAATTAAATTTGATGCAACGAGAACATGAATGTTGTGGTGTGGTAGGTATCACTGCCACTTGGGATCAGGTGAGTTTACCTACTGTTGACTTTATTTAGGAAAGGGTGTTGTCTCATAAGAAGATGACTAGTGCTAAATTGAGCTTATAATGTTTAATATACCTAGTATTGGGATTTTGAAAGTGTTTTTAAAATCAAGCTTAAGATGAAGCTGTTGAATGTTTTGTAAAGTTTTAATACCTTTTTAACTCTTTCTGTAGCTCTCAGTGAAAGGTTACAATGACAAACAGCCAATTTTGCTAAAGAAGATTACTGAAAAAATGGCTACTTTTGAGATTGATAAAAAAAGATTTGAAATTATTAAAGAGGCGGTAAGTTTTGTAACATGTTTCTATAATTTTTATTAATACAGTTGCATTACCATATTATAAAAATTGCTAATAATGGAGAGAGGATTGGGGAAAAAGCATTTATAGTCCTGAGTCATCGCCTTTGCTGTATTCTGCTTAGAAAGCTGAGCCCACTAGTATACACCTGACTGTCAGCTTCCAAACCTACTAGAATTGTAGAACTAACTCTGGGGGAAGCCCCAGTGGCAGTGAGAGACTTTAGTTTTCCCTCCAACCTTCATTTCAGACAAGCACATGGTTGGGGAAACAGAGGTCTGCCCACCAGAAGAGCTTTCTTACTTTGTAGTGCACCCTTTAGGGTTGATGTGTCATCCATTTAGATCCATGTCAAGATTAATGGAAGTACAAAATGGAGAGCTACTTTCAACAAGACCTTCATTTATATGCCATAATAAACTGTCAGTTTTCAGTTGAGTATACAATAGCTACTACCCATGTTACTTGCTTATGGAGACGTTGGAGTTGTGCCATATCCAAGGATCCCTGGGAATTACTTTCTGAGGCATGCAAGACATCCCATAGTGAAGGCATTTAGATACGCATCAGATGCCAGAGGTTAAGATGCTGCCTGGACAAGCAAAATGCGTGCCAGTTAGTTTAAGAATCAGAAAAGGGTAGTTACTGTTCCTGATTATATAGAAGAGAAAGAAGTAGATATCCTTGCATTCCAGTTACACATAATTTATGTAGAATAAGTTGGACTATAGCTGATCTTTAATTGACTTTGAAAATTAATGAACCCATGCTTCCCTTCTCTAGTATATGCGATCTCTTAATAATTTCCGGGCTGAGCAGCCTCACCAGCATGCCATGTACTACCTCCGCCTGCTGATGACTGAAGTGGCCTGGACTAAAGATGAGTTGAAAGAAGCCCTAGAAGGTGAGATTCCACCTACTTCATTTCCTACCCTGATTCTAGTCATTCCGTTGTCTAAGGGCTAGGTAGCAAGAGCCTCAGAGCTTCATGTGGTTCAGTGGCATTTACCAACTACCTCCACACCCAGCCCTGCCAGTAGGTGAAACAGCCATCAATTAGAAGGGTTCCTGGGTTGGGGACTAGGGTTGGGAAGCATAAGTAGAAACATCATTTCCATAAAGATGGGGTAGGTGAGTGTTACGCTACGGAGCTAGAGAAGGGGTTGCCAAGGCAGCACAGTGGGAGTGGGTGTTCTAGTTCTGCAGAAACAACTTCAGGCTCGTGTGTGTGTGTGTGTGTGTGTGTGTGTGTGTGTGTGTGTGTGTGTGAGAGAGAGAGAGAGAGAGAGAGAGAGAGTGAGAGAGAGAGACCTTTAAAATTAAGACAGTAGCTCATAATTTTATATTGAAAAATAACATCTGTGAAATACCTGACCCATCATGGGTTTAAGTAATTAACTTAATTAGTTCCTAAAGAAGGGCCAGTACGTGTAAAAGGAATGTGAAAAGTAGGAAAATTACTACTGGCACACTGTATGATTGCCACAGGCAGTGTCCATCTGCAGATACTGACATTAGTACAAATTTGAGGGGAATAGAGCTAGTGAGATTGCTCGATGGGTAAAGGGTCTCACCGCCATGCCTGATGACTTGAGTTGGATTCCTCAGTACCCATGTGGTGGGGAGAGAGAATTGATTTCTCTATGTTGTTCTCTGACCCCTATGTTCATTATTGGTACCACTTCCATGAGTAGACTGACACACATACTGAATAAATTTAAAAAATAATAGTACAATAAAAAAAATTTTTAAATATTTGAGGGAAAACTGCCTCAAACGTTCTCCCAAACACATTAATTCTAATAGGAAAATTTGGTTTGGGCTTTGATAGGCTTTGGAAGTAGACACTTTCAAATAGCTTGTTGAACATACATGAATCACTCCATTATTACCTAAAGAGTAAAAAAAAGCACATTTACAATGAAAACACCTGGCAGACACCACCACAACCAGGTAACTTGTGATAACATACCCAGCACCATGACACACCCACCTCAGCAGTCTGATGCACGTTGCCTCTGTGTTGCTGCTTCTTCGTGCTGGTGCATAAATGTAGTTTGATCTTGAGAAGACACTAGATGAATAAAGGAGCTCTGAGGAACTGTCTCCAGTGAGAGGACAGTAAGGATGTATGGCAGCTAATTGCAATGTAGGATTATAGATTAGTTCTGGTCTATCTACATAGCAAATTCCAGACCAGCCAGGGCTACACAGTAAGACCATGTCTCAAAAACCAAACAACAAAAAAACTAAGACCAAAATCCAATCAGAGCCTGTATTTGGGTTAACAGTATTATTGTATTAGCTGGATAGTGGGTGGAGTGCTTGCCTACCATAAACAAAGCCTTGGATTTGCTGTATAGGACCTTGAAAAACACACAGTGTGTATCAGTATTGATTGCTTAGGTTCTGATAATCATAGTGTGGTTATTGACAATATAAACAAAACTGGGTGAAGGGTGAAATACACTCATATTTTTGCAAGTCTTGTATATATCTGAAATTACTTCAAATGCAAAGTGTTGTTTGTATGCAGGTCTCACTATTTCTTACTTATCTGCAGATGTTACCCTCCCCCGACTTAAGGCCTTCATACCTCAACTACTGTCACGGCTGCACATTGAAGCCCTTCTCCATGGAAACATAACAAAGCAGGTGCGAGGTGAAGTTTTAGCAGTCTTTTATGGATCACTGTAAACAATTATTTCCCCTGTTCTGTCTCAAGACTCACCCAGCACAATGCTAAGCACATAAGAATTAATCCGCTGTCTCTGTGGGAGAAGGAAGTAAGGACATGTGAGAAATAGAAGTGCTCACTGCTGCTGCCTGGCCTTTGCAATCAGAAAAGGAATGGGAACAATTATCCCTACTCTGTGTAGACTCACATAATGTAGACATCAGGCAGCCTGTGTACAAGCCCTGACACTGGTGTGTACTAGATATGTAATCTAATGGAAAGGCCTTACCTCCCCTGTGCAAGTGAGAGTGATAGCAACACCTACACCTTGGCTTACCCAAGAAGAGCCCCATGGCAGTCTGCCTCAAGGGCCCTTACTCCCAACACTCCATACAGCCTCCAAAACAGTGTGCAAGGGCAGGTGCTTGCTCGGCTCAGTTTAACTCACAGTATACTCTTCTGTGTATCTCTTCTGTTTGGCTTCTGTGCTCAAGATTACTGACATGGGACTAACTTTTCCTTACCAGTACCTCCATCTTTAGAAAAGCCTTTATTCCCTGCCATCAGTAAGTTTCTTTTCACTACTACCGTATTGATTGACAAACTCAATTTTTATCCATTTGCATAGGAGTAGATAAATTTAGTAATTAAAAATATATTTTATGATCATCTAAGCTATTTTATAAGTATGTTTCATTATAGTAATGGGCTATCCAGTATTCTGTTTTGATTTTCACAGACAGGATATACTTTTTTTTCCCGTTTTATAATATGCTGTGATATTTCTCTTCCTTCAGGCTGCATTAGGAATTATGCAGATGGTAGAGGACACCCTTATTGAGCATGCTCACACCAAGCCTCTCCTTCCGAGTCAGCTAGTTCGCTACAGAGAAGTCCAGCTTCCTGACAGTAAGTGAGATGTTAAAACTTTGAGTACTAATGTGCTTGTTACAATGCGTTGAATACACTTGGAAAATAATATATGCTTTCATGTCAGAGATCTACAGGAATTCTCTGTAATTTATAGAAATAGGATTACAAGTAGGTAGTTTTGCCATAGAATTCTCTGATTGGTGAGCCATGTGCAGTCATTTTGAGGAGATTGATATAGAACTCACTAGTACTTGAATATAGAGGAGTTAGAGAATAAAGGTGGCCTAGCACTCAGGAGGCAGAAGCAGACAGATCTGTGTGAGTTGGAGGCCAGTGTGGGCTACAAAGAGAGTTCCAGGACAGCTAGGACTATTACACAGAGAAACCCTGTCTCAAGAAAACAACCAATGAGATAGGAACTATGAAGGCTGGAAAGGTAGCTCATCAGGTAAGGTCATGTGCTGTTTGTTCCTGGAAAGGACTTGACTTTGGTTTCCAACACCATGTTGGGGGGCTTAAAATTTGCTGTAACTCCAGTTCCAGGGGATCTGATGCCCTCTGGCCTTCACAGGTACCTGCACTCATGTAGCCAGGGCTACATGGTGAGAATCTTGTCTAAAAGAGGGAAAGCTGGCTGGATGTGGTTTAGCTGGTAGAGTGCTTGCCCAGCACACACAAAGCCTTTGATTTGATCCTGGCATAGGATACAAGTGGGCATGGTGGTGCATTTGTAATCTCAGCACTTGGGAATTAGAAACAGGAGAGTGAGAAATCAAGACGGTAAGTTAGAAACCAGCCTGGGGTAAATGAAACTGTGCGTCAGAAATAAAAATTGAGGAAAACTAAGAAGCAGCTGAAACCATGGCACTCATTGGAAGTCCGTCGGAATCATTGACAGGAGTAGTTTTAGAATAGCCACAAGTATAGATAACAACATATTCCTTACATGTATATTTTTCTAAGGGGGTAACATTTGTAAGTACTTGTATTTATATGTTGGGACTTACAGTGTCAGATTATAGTTACATTAACAGTGGCTTCTTGTGATATAAGAACTTAGTAAACATTGTTTGAATGTGGAAAACTCTAATGGGAAACATACTAGACCAGGAATGAGGGCATGGATTCTCTGGCCATACTTCATTGTTGGTGGCCCCGTGCATACGTCATCTATGTCCCCTGCTCACAGCTCTTTTACCTACTTAAATGGTGTCCCTCCCCCCCCCCCCCCACTTCTCAGGAACCTGTGTCTGAATTCTGGTCCTCTTCCCTGGCCTGTCATACTCCTCTATTTTAGTCGGTTTTGCATGACTATGACAAAATACCCCATCTACAATAAAGGGAACAGTTCATTTTGAATCATAGTTTTGAAAGTTTCAGGTCATGGGTAGTTGACCATTTGCTTTTGTACCTATAGCAAAGCAGAATATCACAGTAGGAGGGCAGAGTGAAGGAGTTCCTCACCTCATGGCAGCCAGGAGATAAAGGGGAGGAGAGGCCAGGGTCTCTGTGTCCCTTTCAAGCACAATTTCCAAAGATTTAACTTCTTTTTTACCACCTTCCATTAGCATCTAAGGCTGGAGAGCATGCTGTAGGGCTAGGGATGCAGCTCAGCGGGAGGGCATCTGTCCACCATGTGCAAGGGACTTGGGCCAAACTATAACAGCCAGTAAACTTCCTTTGACATCCTGAGCTGGAATAACCACCTGTGAGTTTTTCTGAACACTTTGAAGCTCTCAGCACTTTTATTCCTTCATGTAGATTAAAGGGCAACACCATTTTATGAGATTATACATTCCTTTAAAGCCAGGGGTTCTGCTTTGAGTAGCCACTAAACAACTCAAATATGTTATTACTTCACGCCATCTCTGTCGAGCACAGCTAGTTCTGTTGTCGTGCCTGGCCAGTCATCACAAAATAGGTGATGGTTTTCAGGTGCAGTTTCTAGTGTGATCCTCGGTCAGGGCACACACAGTAGAGAGGAAGAATTAGGAGCTGCTGAGTAAGAGCCGTTCCATTGGGCTGAGCACAGAGCTCTGAGGTTGAGCACATATTTAATGGTGGGTGGGGGTGGTCCTGGGTTCAAGCCTCAAACCAAATGGAAAAAGAAACTACAGCATTTACTGCCACTCAAGGTGATCCAGTCTAGAACAGAATTTCAAAGTGGAGTTTTTCAGGCCCCTTCCTTTCCTCTCTTAGGACCCTGTCTTTTGCCTCCTGGTTACTCTGTTAAATTCCCTCAAACTCAGAAATAGCACAGTTTATATCTCATTTTCAAAATGAAAGTGTTAGAAAATCCTTCTGATGTAGCCGACTGCAGATGTGAATGTTTAAGTAACCCCTCGCCTGATGGGCTTGGGAGGCATCTGCAGCTGGAAAACAGCATCTTCTGCTCTGTGAAGGAAGAAATGTTTTGAGATCTATGAGAAGAAGGAAAGATGGCTCCAAGAGCCCACAAGTCCTTCCCTCTTCTGAGGAGGAAGATCACTGTCAATTTATATCAGGAAATGGGTTCTAAAGCCAGGCAGCTGGCCCATGCCTGGAACCCTGGCACTGGGTGGTAGAGACAGAAGAAGCAAGAGACCATAGCCAGCTTCTGTCACCTAGCAAAATGAAGACCAGGCTGGGCCACGTGTGACCCTGTCTCAAAAACAAACAAACATTTTTTTTTTTTTTTGAGATAGGAAAATTGCGTGTTGAGTGGGCAGGCATAAAGAGGGTATGTGGAGCACACGTGTAATCTCAGTGCTCATGAGGCAGAGGCAGAAGGATTCCAAGGCCAGCCTGGCTGCAGTAATTTGCTTTCTGTTGCTATGATAAAACACCAACCAAAACCAACCTCAGCTTCCAGGTTACAGTTCATCAACCAGGGAAGCCAAGACAGGAGCTGGAGCAGGTGCTTGAAGCAGAAACCGTGGAGGAAGGGGCCCGCTTCCTGGCTTTTTTCTCATGGCTTACTCGGCTTCCTGTCTGGGTGTGTGTATATGCATGTGTGTATGCGCGCGCGCGCATGTGGTGTGTGTTTGTTTTTTAAGACAAGGTCTCTCAATGAGCCTTTTCTGGTCTGGAACTCACTAGGTAAACCAAGCTGGCCTCGGGGTCATAAAGATCAGTCTACCTCTTATCTCCGGAGTGCTGGGATTACAGGCGTGCACCACCACACCTGGCTTAGCTGCTTTTCTTATGCAGTCCAGGATTTATGCATACCCAAGCATGGCACCACCCACAGTGGGCTACAGTGGACCAGGACTGACTGTACTCTCCCCTGTAGATTACCCATCACGAAAAAATGCCCTGTGGACATGTCCACAGATCGGTCTGGTGGAGACAGTTCCTGAAGTGAGATTCCCTCTTCCCGAGTATGTCTAGATTTATATCCAACTGATGAAAACTAACCAGCACAATGGGTTATATAATAACAAATTCAAGGCCAGCCTCGGGTACATGGTGAGACTTTGTCTGAAAAACACTAAAACAAAAAAATACTAAAGTAAGTAAGTATACCATTAGCCTTATTACATTACAGATAATTCTTTTCTTTTTGAAACTTCTTAGGAGGATGGTTTGTTTATCAGCAGAGGAATGAAGTTCACAATAACTGTGGCATCGAGATCTACTACCAGACAGACATGCAGAGTACCTCAGAGAACATGTTCCTGGAGCTTTTCTGTCAGATTATCTCTGAGCCTTGCTTCAACACCCTGCGCACCAAGGAGCAGCTGGGTGAGAAGGCAGTGGGTTCCCGGGATACAGGAGACAGAAATGAACAGCTTTTATTTTCAGCAGACATTTCCCACCTCATCCTCCTCTTCTTACTCCATTGGCTCCTCCTCTTCCTTTCTTTCTCATGGCGAGGAGAGCGAACGCAGTCTCCTCTATACCGACTAGGCATGTCCTTAGCCCTAGTGTTAAAGCGATTCTTAATGAGGTGATGCTGGATTTCCAATGGTTTCCATAAAGACGAAATCTTAGGTTTTAGGGAGGGAAGAAAGAGTGCTAAAAGACAGTTCTAAGCCATTCTGAGAGGAAACATAAGACCCAATCAAAAAAACCAAACAACTAGAACAAAGAGAAGTTTAGTTCAAAGAAACCCCCATACAAACTTGGAAGAAACATTTAAAAAGGATAGGCTTCTCTCTCCACATAACCCTGTCAGTGTAGAGTAACCCCACGCTAGGTGCTGAGCATGGCAAAGGGACACGTTAAGGAGCTCACAGTGGTGGCCTATAGAGGCGTGACTATGTTTCAGTGTGGTGAGTGTTCCTGTAAGAGTGTTCAAACAGCAAAGCTCCTGAAGAGAGCAACATCCCCAGAGGCCCCAGGTCCCAGACTGTCTTGGGTGGGAGATCTGTGCAGGGCTGCTGAAGGAAAAAGCCAAGAGCTAAATGGAGAAAAGGGTTGGAGTGATGACTGTGAGGGCAAGGTGACTGGCGCCCTGTGCGGACTGCTGCTTCCTCACAGCAGGGCTCGATGACACGATGACACAGTGGCTGCTGCAGTCCCGTGTGCACAGGAGCTGCTCGCCGTCTGTGGCTGCCTGTTGTGCCTCGCACACTGTCGATAACTAAGGAGCGGAGCCCCCGCATCTCCAAGCTCTCTTAGACCAGTATCTACAGCCTGACCACCCAGGTGCTGTGCCTGAGTGGTGGGCAGATGAGAATGCCACAGACCTGTACATGTTCTGAAGCGTTTAGCTCGGTCTCCTGCTCTGGTGTCACAGCCACAGACCGTGATTGTTGCCCCGCCCCCAGGCCACAATGGGTGCCTAGTGGCGCTTGCTGAGCCCGCCACCAGTTATACACTGGAATTCCATTCCAGAAGGCGGCTTTCTATGACTGCAAAGGCTACTACCTGTCATCTTCTAGGCCCAGTGATACACATGAGACAGGAAAGACCACCAAGGTGGGCTAGGACAAGATCTTTGTCCTGAAATAGCGGTACCCAGGTTTGCTTCAGATACCAGCTAAAGGAGCTTGCCCATGTGCCAGAGCATGGAACTGTTGACTGCTCACAATGAAGAGGCTGACTAAGATACTTTGAGTGCACCTGCTGCATGCTCAGTGGCAAGTGTTAGATGCTGAAAGCCACCAGAGGTACGCAATTTGCTGGCACCAAGGAGGCCAGATGCTGCTCTAACATGCTGGTGCATCACATTGCAAGCATCCAGTGGGAAGCCTGTGACTGCCAAGAAGAACGGGCAGTTGACTGTCCCATCAGCAATACTGACCTCTTCCCCACAAACCTGATGCGGTCCTCTCCCTGTTCCATAGAAAATACGGTGTTACTGGTTGCCACAGAGTCACAGGTACCTTGGACACCAGCCACTGTAACTGAAGGCCTGTGCCCAGATGGTTGATCCTGGCCTTGCTCAGCTGAGACTGAGTGCTAGCAGCTCCCCCAGACCCTGCCATAAACAGGTGTTCAGGACCCCAGTGTGGTTCCCCATAAGGTATCACCCACCTCTGATAGTTTCAGAGAAAAAAAATCCACATGGCCTTTACTTCTTCTGGCTACAAAAGCCTTGTCTACATCTAGAACTTTGCCGTGGTGATTTTGATGTTGTAGGCTTCACTACTGAATTTGAGCAGGAAGATGTAGGTAGAGTGGCTTTGAACTAGAAATAACAAAGTAAACTAATGTCGGTCTTCAAAAGATGGGAGGCGAGAGGTAGAAAATGTATTGGGTGACGGGTACGTATAAGGATGTTGATAGATCTGTGACCTTCAGTTTGTCCTGTCCTAGAGAGTCAGGTGATCCAGAGTTGGTTCAGGAATAGATTATCAAGTAAATGCATTGTAGAGCCAGGGTCATGTGAGAACTCAGATGGTAAAGCAGCGGGAGTTAGGGGTTGGCGGGGGCATGAAGTGAGCCCAGCGGTTTGTAGGGATAGGGATAAGGAGTTTAGACAGTTGACTGAGCAAGTCACAGAATGTGAATTTGAAGGAATTGAAGGTCAGCCATATGCCTCAACTGAGCCCTTCAGCTCTGTCCCAAGGAAGAAGACCATGTCTTAAATGGTCGTATTTCTAAAGATGTGAATGAGCTAAAGTAGATTTCCTTTTCTCTGAAAGACTAAAAGTGATCTGAGTCTAGTGTCAAGATCCTGACTGGCTGTGTGTGTGTGTGTGTGTGTGTGTGTGTGTGTGTGTGTGTGTGTGTGTGTGTGTGTGTGTACTTCAGGCTATATTGTCTTCAGTGGACCTCGCCGAGCCAATGGCATCCAGGGCTTGCGATTCATCATCCAGTCAGAGAAGCCACCTCACTACCTGGAGAGCAGGGTGGAAGCCTTCTTACTTACCATGGAGAAGGCCATAGAGGACATGACAGAGGAGGCCTTCCAGAAGCACATCCAAGCACTAGCCATCCGTCGACTCGACAAACCAAAGAAACTCTCCGCAGAGTGTGCTAAATACTGGGGGGAAATCATCTCTCAGCAGTACAATTATGACAGAGGTAAGGTAAAAAGAGCTTCATTATCACATGTGGGTATAAAATTTAGGAGTATCAAAGCCATTCTATATGGCATTCATTTTGTGGGGTTTCAGTAGTGATTTAGCAACAGGATAGGTCTGCACTTATTTTTCTTTAAAAAAAAAAATGTGGTGTTTTTTTTTTTTTTTATTTAATATAAAAACAGTTTCCTGCTAGGAACTCCCTTCTCCAAAACTAAAGCTGGTCTCTATGTTTCACATTAATTTCACTGTTTCTTTTCTGTCAGCATAGCCTGACTGTGAACACTGATACATGAATATCTATTTTCCATACGTGACTGGGGGTGGGGGGATGCAGACTAAATGTTCATACAGCAAGAGCTATCCCTGCAGTTCAGGAATCTCCAAAGACTCCACTTTCAGATGTAAAACAGCTGTGCATTGGAGGGTCCTGTGTGTCCGATTCCATTCCCCTTTCATTACAAAAGAGGTTAAGCAATGGAGCCGAAGCATACTAGAAGTCAGGAGACAGGTTTCATTCCTGGCATCACCACGCTGACAGCCTTGACTGGCTGCTGTTGTTGCCTTACTGTCCTCACCTGTGGGGCTTTTTATTTGAGTGTTTGCTTTTTTGTTCTGTTTTGTTTTGTTTTACTGAGACAAGGTCTCACTATATAGCTTTGACTGGTCTGGAGCTTGCTGGCCTCAGGCTCAGAGATCTGAATTCTGCCCGCCTTGGCATTCCAAGTGCTGGAATTAAAGGCATGCAATACCGCACCTGACCTTTACCTGTGCTTTTTCTAGCAGTTGGATCTACTACTAATGTTGAACATTTACCTTGTGCCTGGCATCATTTGTCATGTCACCTTCTTGGTTGTGATTATAACTTACCAAACTAAATGGTTACTTTCAGTCTCCAGATAAGGCAACTAAGGTTTAGAAAACTCAAAGTGACTGGGTCCAGATCTAGCTTCCCACTGGGGCGAATGGAACCTGGTTCCCAAGCCAGGTCTTAACTCCTATAGCACAGTCAATTTCTTGGGGTCTATCTCCTCCCTACTTAGATAGCAGATGGTGGCTTTAAAATGTGGATACCGGGCCGGGCAAGGGTGTCAGCACTTGGGAGTCAGGGGTAAGCAGATCTATATGAATTCGAGGCCAGCCTGGTCTTCAGAGAGAGGGCCAGGACAGCCAAGGCTACACAGAGAAACCCTATGTTGAAATCCCCCCCCCCAAAAAAAGGATGCCTGGAACGGGCTGGAGAGAAGAGCAACATATGTCTTAGCCTGAGCTTGATCCCTGGAACCCACAGGTAGAAGGAGAGACCCAGCCAAAAGCTGTGCTGTGACTTTCACAGACACATAAATGAAAATAAAAGTCTTTAAAATCGAGGATTCTCAACAGGCTTAGAGTGAAATGTATTGTCTTCCAGTGCGGTATTTTAGATTGTTTAACGTGAAAACATTAATGAATTACTGCTTGCTTACCTTTTCAGATAACATAGAGGTTGCATATTTAAAGACACTTACCAAGGACGACATCATCAAATTCTACAAGGTCAGTGATTGTGTTATCTAAACTTTATTCTATTTCCTAATTAGTAATTATGTGTTCAGTATGTATATGTGTGGGTGTGTGAATGTTGAAGTCAAGGCAGCGTGCAGAAGTAGGTTCTCTCCTACCATGTGGGTCCCAGGTTGTCAGGCTTGGAAGCAAGCACCTTTTCCCGCTTGAGCCACTCATTGGCTCCTAAGTCTTGGTTGATAATGAACTACTTGCTGTACTGTGTATTTGACCTATTAGATGCACTTCGGAGGCTGCAATGGCTCTTGTGGTTTCCAAGCCCCATTTCCAGGCTCCTTTTCTGTCTTCTGCCATGCTGTTTAAATGGTGTTGCCGAGCTTCTCAGTGGGCAGGGAGAGCAAAGGAAACAACACACTGGTCAGCGTGGTTTCCAAACCAACAGTGACCAGTGCTCCAGAGTTTTCAGGGTCTGTGCTTCCTGAGAAGGCTACAGAGAAAGGAGAGGCACTGCCGTTAGTGTCTTCCAGCACAGCTTTAAGAGAATCTTTGCTCCATCGAAGTCTCTCTCTCTCTTATACACTTTATAAGTCAGGGTTACCATTGCTCTGATGAAACACCCTGGCCAAAGCATCCTGAAGAGGAAAGGGTTTGTTAGGCTTATGCTTCCACAGCACTGTTCATCACTGAAGGACGTCAGGGCAGGAACTCAAACAGGGCAGGAGCTGATGCAGAGGCCATGGAGAGATGCAGCCTACTGGTTTGTTCCCATGGCTTGCTCAGCCTGCTTTCTTCTAGAACCCAGGACCAGCCGCCCAGGGATGGCCCCACCACCACTGGGCTCAGCCGTCACCAATGAATCACTAATTGAGAAAATGCTCTACAGGCTTCCGTGCAGTTGGATCTTATTGTTCTCAGTCGAGGGTTCCTCCTCTCAGGATGACTACAGCTTGTGTCAAGTTGACATAAAACTAGGCAATACAACATGTCAAATGAAGACTTTCACAATGTATGCCACAGTAGAGTTGTACTTACTTGAAGTGTTGCTTATTCTTTGTGATCTGTTGGAATCTCTAATTTACATAAAGTACTTCAATGCCTCATTTAGGATAAAGAAAAAATTATAGTCTGCGATTACCTTCGCACCATGGAACTGCTGCCCATGTCCTAGCCACTTAGCCTGGATCATGTTTGTGATTATGTACTGTCTGGTGAGGAACTATGCTCAGCCATGCTCGTGTCTTTCGGGGGGAGATGTCTGTAGTGCCACTCTCCGGTGCTCTGTTGTGGAGGCTCTTGATGTTCTCTTAAGGATGGGCGTGTGAAGAGCGAGGGCTACCTAATTACATTCCTACTGTACTAGGGCTTTCCATGCCCCTTCTCCATCACCAAAGGAGCTGTGGCAGGAGAGTCAAGAAAAGAAAACAGGGCCGGGCAGTGGTGGCATATTCCTTAAATCCCAGCATCAGGGAGACAGACAGGAGGGAGGATCTCTGTGAGTTCAAGACCAGCCTGGTCTACAAGAGCTAGTTTTAAGACAGTTCCAAAGCCACACGAGAAACCTTGTCTTAACCAAAAGAAAAGACCCTGACTTGGAAGTTTCATAAAGGAAACTGATTAGTTTATACTGTCCACAGTCAATAATGTCTCTTCCCCCTCGTGTGTAAAACCACAAAAGCTGCTCTTTTCTGTGTGTGGGAAAAAGTATTAATGAAGTCACATCACCCTAACGATACAGAAGGGGGAATATGGAGCTGGAAAGGGAACTTAATGGTAAAGTGAACCCTGTACAAGCGAGAGGACCTGAGTTCAGGCCCGGCATCTGTGCAGTGAGCTGGCTGTGGCATCTGTGCAGTGAGCTGGCTGTGGCATGTGTGCCTGAGCTGGCTGTGGCATCTGTGTAGTGAGCTGGCTGTGGCATCTGTGCAGTGAGCTGGCTGTGGCATCTGTGCAGTGAGCTGGCTGTGGCATCTGTGCAGTGAGCTGGCTGTGGCATCTGTGCAGTGAGCTGGCTGTGGCATGTGTGCCTGAGCTGGCTGTGGCATCTGTGCAGTGAGCTGGCTGTGGCATCTGTGTAGTGAGCTGGCTGTGGCATCTGTGTAGTAAGCTGGCTGTGGCATCTGTGTAGTGAGCTGGCTGTGGCATCTGTGTAGTGAGCTGGCTGTGGCATCTGTGTAGTGAGCTGGCTGTGGCATCTGTGTAGTAAGCTGGCTGTGGCATCTGTGTAGTAAGCTGGCTGTGGCATGTGTGCCTGAGCTGGCTGTGGCATCTGTGTAGTGAGCTGGCTGTGGCATCTGTGTAGTAAGCTGGCTGTGGCATCTGTGTAGTAAGCTGGCTGTGGCATCTGTGCAGTGAGCTGGCTGTGGCATCTGTGCAGTGAGCTGGCTGTGGCATCTGTGTAGTAAGCTGGCTGTGGCATCTGTGTAGTGAGCTGGCTGTGGCATGTGTGCCTGAGCTGGCTGTGGCATCTGTGTAGTAAGCTGGCTGTGGCATCTGTGTAGTGAGCTGGCTGTGGCATCTGTGTAGTAAGCTGGCTGTGGCATGTGTGCCTGAGCTGGCTGTGGCATGTGTGCCCAAGTCCCACACCCACAAAAGGAGACTGTGTCTCCAAACACACAAGATTTCTTTTTTTATTATGTTGAGGGGGTATTTCCTCATGATTGAAGGTGCTCACAGAGGCCAGAAGGGATCACTGGACCCTCCGGAGCTGGGGTTACAGGCAGTTATGAGCAGCCTGATGTTGTACTGAGAACAACTCAGCTCCTCTGAGTTCCTCTTAAACACTGAGCCATCTCTCAAGCCCTTGTTTTGTTTTTTAAGACAAGGACTCATTCTATAGCCTACGCTGACCTTGAACTCATAAAACAATCCTGCCTCTGCCTCTTCAGGGCTGTGGGATAATAGCCATGTTTACACCTGTTTAGAATACGTGTTTTGAGTGCTGATGTTTGAGCCATTTAGGAGGTAGAGATGGATGGCCAAACTCATCACTTCTGTTGCCTTGTGTGGAGGAAAGCCTTGCACCTAAACTACACTAGTTCCCTTTCAATAATAGCCTTTGAATATGTGCATGTGTAAAAGGCAAAACCCTGGCCTGACATGTGATCGAAAGTGGCCTTTGTGTGGTGAGTGCAGACTCGGATGTGGGTGTGTCCAATGAGGCTGTGCAGCTGTCTAATATGCTGTCTTACTTAGGTCCCCCTTGGTCCTTAGTTCGTTCTGCAGGGCAGCAGCAGGAGCATGTAGGGTCTCTGCCTACAGACTAGGACCCAGGTACCCCACCCCCACCCCAAACTGGTGGATCTATGGCTTCAGCCAAGTCACCTAAGCTTTGAAGCATCAGTCTCCTGATCTAGAAGATAGAGCTTCATTTGAATGAGGTACACAATTGCCACTTTGTGACATTAAACAGTCTCGGGCTTTTGACAATGTTAAATCAGAGTGTGTTCTCGTTCTAAATGTTAGGAAGTTAGTTCTAGCTGTGTTTCCTTACTACCTGCTGGCTGTTTAACTTTGTGAGGACAAATACTTGTTCTCAATTGCTTACTGGTGAGGGTGGTCACATTCAGTGATTGTCTGGCTTCTGAGAGTATCATACTAAAGTATTACTAGTCACCTGTTCCCAAGGCGACATCCCAGTGTAACCTACAGTAATGCCTCCAGGAGGAATGAAATATTGCTTCTCTCTACATATGCTGTTGTTTATTTAAAATTACAATACCTGCTTGGGTTTCAAAATGGTGATCATGAGAGTATTTGTACCAACTTTGCTAAATGCAGAAGAATCTTGTCTTACTGCCCTCCAGCTAGCATTCTGCAAGGTACTAATAAGCCCCACTAGTAAATACTGAAATAGGTTTGCAATCCCAGGCATATATTAACTATGAGTTTGAGCAAATCGATTAATTCCCTTGGTCTTGGTTTCCTCATCTATAAAATGGGAATAACTCTTGGCAGTGCTAGGGGTGGGTATAGCCCAGAGGAAGAACATCTGCCTGGCATGAATGAGGTTCCTGGTTCAATTCCAAGCACCACGGAAAAAGAAAATTAAGTCTTGCCTGCCTCCTTGAATCTTTTACAGTAAAATCACTTGAGAGGAAAGAAAAGAAAGCTTCTTTTCGTGTATAACTTGGTTGATTCTTCAGAGCCTCAGAGAGTCCTTTGTCCTAAGTTTCCTAACAGCATAAGAAAGTGACCTTTTTCTTTGTGCTTAGGAAATGTTGGCCGTGGACGCACCAAGGAGACATAAAGTATCCGTCCATGTTCTTGCCAGGGAGATGGATTCTTGTAAGTATTGGTTACTGACCTTTTAAAAATTCCATTTTTCATCTGATGTTGAGCCATATGATTGATGGTTGTCCCTCCCATAGTCACTCACCTTACAGAGCACCAGAAAGTGAAAGCATAAACAAGACAGCATGTGTTCCATGGACGCAGAAGTTCAGGGGAGGGGGGTGGAGAGGTAGAGAACTCATCATCTCCAAAAGTGGCTGTCAGAGCCTTAGAGTCTAATCAAGTTGACCTGAGCTCTAGAGCTGCTGAGGCCAAGGCTATAGGGACTCAGTGGTGTCAGCGTGGAGCGGGTGCTTGGGACATCAACTCGGGCCTTGGAACAAGCAGCTTGGGAGGACCTGAGAAGTGTTAAGGGCCTGGTGTGGCCTATTTTTCTCAAATGACCTATAGTCTATCTTAGTTTTTTTTTTTTTTGAAAATTCTTCATGTTGCAAGTATGGAGTAAATAGTAAGCTGTGGTTTCCTTGCAGGTCCCGTTGTTGGAGAGTTCCCATCTCAGAATGATATAAACTTGTCAGAAGCACCAGCCTTGCCACAAGTAAGAAACGTTAGGCATTGTCTGAGTTCTTCTCCTTAAAGCAGCTTGTTCACCAGACCACGTGAAAACCTGGAGGTTCGGGTCGCTAGTGTCAAAGCTACTTCATCCAGGTCTTCTCGAATGTCCCATCACTCAGCCTCTGCCCATTGCCTCTGTTGTCTTTTGTTTGGGGGTCATGTAACGCAGGCTGGCCTAAAACTCATGTGTAGATGAAGCTGGCTTGAACTCCTAATCCCCCTGCCTCAACCTCACAAGTACTGGGTCATTCTGTACCAAGCCACCTCCAGCCATAGCTTTCCCAGATTTGACTACTGGAATGAAAGTGTGTGGCCCTTCCTATAGTGCCTCTTCAAAGTCTAGCATTTACCTGAAGGGTGAGAAAATGGGCAGTGTCATCAGACTTTTGCTGAGTGGTTAAGTCAGCCTATGTAAGCCCAGGTGAAAGCCAAGAGTCCTCTTCTGGCCCAGAGTCCCATGTACCATGGGCTCTGCAGACTCGTCCATGACCCCTCTGGCCCGGTTGCAGTATGGGTATCTCGTGGTAAACACCACCTCCTCCCCGACACCGCAGCCCCCGCCAAAAGCTGCTGTTGTTCAGTCTTATTTTTGAATGAAACACTAAAGAAAATTGTTTTGTTTTTTCCTTTTCAGCCTGAAGTGGTTCATAACATGACAGAGTTCAAGCGTGGCCTGCCCCTGTTTCCCCTCGTGAAGCCACATATTAACTTCATGGCTGCAAAGCTCTGAAGAGAGTGGATACGTTCCTGTGTCTTCCGGGGCCGGGGGAGCAATCTTAGCCACTTGAGTAGTTTCTGGCTTGCTATTAGAGAGACAAACAGAAAAGAGTTATCAGACGTTATTATGTAGAAATGTTAAAAACCCAAAGTAATAAAATTATAAAATCTTATAGATGTAGAATATTTTTAAAATACATGCCTCTTAAATATCCTAATTTTTTTCCCTTTTTAGTCCTAAGAGAAAACACCTTATATTAACTGTTTAATCTGAAGAAGGATATCCTAATAGAGTCCTTCTTCCTTATTCTGTAAAATACTCACTTGTCTGAAGAAAAGAAGAGCTTTTTTCTAAAAGGCTTCAAAACATTTAGAAAGGACTACCTTTTTAAGAACCGATCCTCAAATCTGTTTTCTATTTGATAGTTTCCTGTAAATTGACAGAAAACATTACATTTGGCAGATAATGCACAAAGCAATGTCATTTTCTTTTATTAGTGAAATTGCTGATTATCTAAGGCATGGTTTTAATGTTTTTATAAAATTTGGGTATGTTTTTTAATCTTCTTAGTCAAATGCTGGAAAGCCCCAGAGCACTCGATTTACAGTGCTAGAAACACAGGTCAGCCTTCCACCAAGCTCGGGATTTCTCAGGATTCCTGTGGGTTCTTTCTCTCTCATTGAATTCTGTTTCTGTTTTTCGTAGTTGGTTTGTAGTGTCCCATCAGCAGATGTGCGCTGCTGTGTAGAGTGTGAGACACACTATGCTAATCAGCTGTTGTGACCCCCCCCCCCATAATTTCCATCAGTGTGTGAACTAAATCGTTTGCCCCTTTGAGGGACTTAAAAGGCAGCAAATACAACGCCACCTCTTTGGAGATGCAAGCAGCTGCATTCTTGCATAGCAGTCTCCAAAAGACTCAATTCCCCTGCTGCTTCCAGTCTCATCTTGCCTTAAGTGTTATTTTTTTGAATATATGAATATAAACATACAGATGATGACTGGGGTGGACTTTTAAAGAATATTTTTTTCACAAGATACTATTTTAGGTGAAAATGTTCCTGTAGATTTAACAGCTGTTTTAAAATACTTGCTCTTATTAACACTTGCTTCAAGAACAAGCGTGGCTGTTTTCACCCACGGGCAATAGTGATAGAAAGCGCCCCTGTTTGTCCACCAACTCAGGCAGAGTGCAGAACGGCGTTTCCAAGTGATATCTGACTGCCCCGTATGACTTGATTTGCCAGGATTTTCTGCTGTAGTCTTGGCTCCTCACAGCTTAAGTTTTCATATTTGCCATTTTCCAAACAACGTGACCTTGGGTGGCTGTGGAGGCCACCCTCCCCGTGGTGCTGCGACTATCTTTTATCCATGTGTTTTAGAGCCTCCCGATGAGAAACCTGTCTTTGTCCATCCCATCAGAAGGTGTGAGTCATCATTTCCTTCTTGTCTAAGCAATTGGCCAAGCAGCCAAGGCTGACTTTGAACTCCTGATCCTCCTGCCTCCACTTCTCAAGTGCCGGGATTAGGCGTGCGTCACCCCGCCCAACGTGACTATGCAGCTTTTCATCGAACTGCAAAATATATACAAGACACATCTAAAATTAGTCCTGAGTATTTGACTCCATCAACTGTAAAAGCAAATAACAGTCTGCTACCTTTTCTGTCAATGATTACATGCCGTTGAGTAACTTAGCTCTTTTTTAAAAGATGGATGCAGTTAAAACCATGCCTTTTGTATGAGAAAAGGCACTTGAAGAGATGGGAAAACAATCCCGTGTTGCTTCCGTGAACCTGTCCGTGGTGTTCAGTGTGCTCCAGAGCTCCTGTGTCACTTGGCATCCTGACAGGTTCATCTCAGTGGGTCCAGGTTGTGGTCCATGAACAAGGACAGACTAACCAGAGACTGCCATGTACTCAAGCTTAGCAAGCGAGATTTGTGAAAAAGTCATGAGTTACCAGAGATGTAAAAAGTCTTTAATCAGTTGGCGTGTAAAAGCATGTGACTCTGCCAGTATGGTAGGTCCTAGGGTTACCCTGTTTACAATAAATCTCCTGAACCGAAACTGCCTGTGTTAGATCACTTTATAGTTTGTGTGAAATCGTGCCCACCCTCAGCACCATGATCTGACAGGATTTCTTGTTTCTGTTACTCTGTTGCAGAAAGCAATGGATTACTGTATATTTGTGTGCATACACATGTATGTGCATATGTTGGTGTCTTGTTTGCTAAAGTAGCTCAGTTTCAGACTCTTACAAGTAGAAAACTTTTGTAAAATAGGAGCCTTGTTGTGAGAGACCAAACTGTTGTTGAGCCATGTCACTGACACAAAAGCAAGTCACCCAGACAGATGAAAAGAAATGAAGGTTTGATTATCCATCATCAAAGAGTGAGCTCATAGTGAAAGCCCTTCTCCCCAGGGCACACACTCAATTAGAGCAGGAAATTATATCATTTTACATTAACATTCTAGGAGATACAGAAGGGAACCCTTCTCTACTCGATTGGTATTATTTATCATAGTATCAGAATAGAGAGAAAAACAGCATGCGACCATTTCGGTAAATTAATGAGAGTGTTTTAGGAAGCTAATGATGAAAGTGTCAGCAAAGTGTGCCCACCTCCGCCCCACTAGGGAACTTTATGAAATCGACACAGCTAGCATTTACTGAAGGACAGGCCCTTCTCCTGAGGCCTTCATGAGAACACCTCTTCTCGTCCCTCTTGTGTCCGAGATCCTAGGCAGTGCAGCAAGGTGTCAGCGCTGGGAAATGTAAAACATGGTCACAAGCCCAAAATCACAAGGAATCTTCAAAGCTGCTATTAACAAGATACGAGGATAAGAAGAAGGCCAACAAACCAATGTTTCAACATGTAAATGTTTCAGTAACTCAAAGAATGAAAATGTAAGGGTAGCGCTACCAGAACATGGAAAGGTACATACTAAAACTGTCACCAGCTACAGCGGGTGTACAACCAAGTCACGACTGCAGGCTGACAGAGCATGGAGGTCACAGGAAGTTTTCAAACTAGGGAAGCATGGAAATGTTATTCTTAGAGCTCATGGTAAGACCCTGTCTCCAAAAATTGCAAAAGGAGTTGATGTGGCAGCTCATGCCCAACAGAGTTAGAGGCAGGCAGACCTCTTGAGTTTGAGGACAGCCTGGTCTGTGGAGTGAGTTCCAAACTAGCCAGGACTATACATTGAGATCCTGTTTCTAAGAGGGCACGGTGGGGACAAAATGAGATGCTTTTCTCTGAGGGCTGACCCGGAATTCAGACTGGCCTCGATCCTTGAACACTCCTACCTCCTCCCTCCTAGTGTTCAGATGACAAGCCTGGGCTGCCATGTGGCTAACATGTATGTTCTCAAAGAGGAGTTGAGGGTTCCTTTATGTAGGGTCCTTAATGGTTGGCACATACAAAGATGAGCATAGCCAGTTTTTCTAAAGCTCATATGGATGTTTCTGGAGATGCTGATACACATTGGAGGTGAGAAACACAAATCCTGGAGTTTGTCCCCAGCTGGGTCTGGCTGTGTCTGCCTGTAATCCCAGCAACAGGGAAATGGGAGACACGACTGTGTAGGAAGAATCTATCTTTAAGAAGCAAACAAGGGGCTGGAGAGATGGCTTAGCGGTTAAGGGCACTGACAGCTCTTTCAAAGGACCCAAGTTCAATTCACTTCACCCACATGGTGGCTTAAAACTGTAACTACCCGTCTAGGGAACCCAACATCCTCACACAGATATTCATGCAGGCAAAACACCAATAGACATAAAACATTTAAAATTTTTTTAAAAAGCAAACAAAAGCACAAGGAATCTACTCTGAATTTTGTGGCACAAGTGAGTGCATGTGAATATGTAACACGGCCTCACGGAGGCCGGAGAGACACTTCAGCGTCTTCACCAAGAGTGAATTCGTCTGTCTCCATCTCTGGGGACTCTGAGATCAACTGTGAAATTTTAATTATTTTTAATTCTTTAATGTTTTAACGTAATGGTGTGAGTGCACGTGTGTCTTTCAGAAGTCTGGTGCCATTCTTCTCCTCAGGTGCTTTCCAACTTGTTTTTAAGAACTATTTTGGTTTTTTGAGACAGGGTTTTTCTGTGGCTTTGGAGCATGACCTGGAACTCGCTCTGTAGAACAGGCTGGTCTCGAACTCACAGAGATCCACTTGCCTCTGCCTCCTGAGTGCTGGGACTAAAGGCCTGCACCATCAATGAATGCCCTTACTGACCTGGGACTTCCAGGTTAAGTCATGCTGTTTGGCCAGCAAGCTCCATCACACCTAGCTTTAAAAAAAAAAAAAAAAAAAAATCTGTGTGTGAGGAGTTACGACACTAGTGTGGAGATCAGACATAACCCAAGAGTGGTCGGTCCTCTTTCCATCATGAGAGTCCCAGGGAATGATCACAGGTCTTGGACTTGTCAGCAAGTTATGGTGCCAGCCACTTTTTTTTTTTTTTTTTTTTTTTTTGAGGTCTCGCTGTTTATCCTAAGCTAGTCTCGAACTCACAGATATTTGCCTGTCTCTGCCTCCTAAGTGCTGTGATTAAAGGTTTGTGTCACCATACCTCTCTTTTTTTGTTGTTGTTTTTGGATGTTGGTCTTATTTTAGTCATTCTGATTGAACTAGCCTGGGGAGGAGTGCAAATCCAACACTGTCCACCAGATGGAGACAAATACTTCCGTGAAAAGTGCTCCACACAAAACCTGGTTTCAATGCCAACTCCAATCTATGTAATATACCAATCAGGTCAAAAATGTAGCAAGAACCGAGTATGCACATCCATAATCCCAGAATTTATGAGGTTGAGGCAGGAGGGTTGCAAGTTTTAGTCTAGCTGGAATTACATAGCAAAACCTAGTCAAAAAAAAAAAAAAAAGGTAGGTGAAATTTCTTTTTTCTTTCTTTCCTTTCTTTTTTTTGTTTGTTTGCTTGCTTTTCGAGACAGGGTATCTCCGTAGCTTTGGAGCCTGTCCTGGAATTAGCTCTGTGGACCAGGCTGGTCTCAAACTCACAGAGATCCACCTGCCTCTGTCTTCCAAGTGCTGGGATTAAAGGCGTCTGCCACCACTGCCTGGCTGATGAAATTATTCTTGATCCTGTTGTTTGCCCTCCATAGAAATTATTGTCATCCTTGAAAAAAAAAGAAGCTGACTTT